TCTGTGTGTGTGTGTGTGTGTGTGTGTTTGTTTGTATGTGCATTGGAATACCTTTGTCCCAAACAGTTCAAAGAGATGTCTAGGTATATCGGTTTAACAGCTGAGAAACCTAATTGCTTTGCATGAATGCTGATTGATATTTATCACTAAGGACTCAAGCGAGTTTTTAACTATTCTCAGGGAGATTCCTGATTTTCCCAAAATGGTGGTGAATGCCATTTTCCAAAAATATTTTTTTTAAACCCGATAGATAGATAGATAGATAGATAGATAGATAGATAGATAGATAGATAGATAGATATAGATATAGGGTTTAAAAATATTTTTGGAAAATGGCATATATATATATATATATATATATATATATGACTTAGTAAGTTTGCATACAAATGTGTGTGTGTGTGTATATATATATATATATGCATACAAATGTGTGTGTGTATACACACACACACACATTTGTATGCAAACTTACTAAGTCCTATATACATACAGGACTTAGTAAGTTTGCATACAAATGTATCTTGTGTCCTGTAGCAGAGCTGGTGGGTAGGTGTTTAAGATGTTCATTGAAGTCAGAACTACCTATGTACTCAATATTTGTATACATGAGTACACAGGGTAGTTCTGACTTCAATGAAGCTTATGTGTTGGTAGATGTACCTGGTGGCGAACTATATGAAAATATAGAAAGTGAAGGAATAGTGTACAGCAGTTGCATTGCCCTTTTAGGTTTCCTCACAGCTCTCCTAAATGGTAGTCTTTATGCTCTTCGTTGTCTAGACCACTGCTTCTTAAGCTATGGGTCCTGACTCCAAATAGGGTTCCATAAGAGAAAATGGGAGGTTGCAAAAATTTGGCAACAGAAAAAGGGTTTTGAGCACCACCCAGTGGATGGTTTAGACATTGACATGAATCTGTTAGCAACAACAGTGCAGTGTTCACAATGGACTCTGAAGGAAATACTTCGGCTTTTCTTCATAAAAAGGTAAATCAGCCTCTTTAGCAAGCCTTGCAAAAGCTGATTTATTATCAGTAAATGTTCGATTAGTATAACTATTTTGTATACTTATATACCTGTGATCATGTACAAATTTCTCTGATAGAAAGGGATCATGAGCAGAAGAACTTTAAGAAGCTCTGTCCTAGACCAGGTTTTGCAAATATTTTTAGTTGAGGCTTGGGTTTTTCCCTATGAAGGTCACCTCTGGATTTATTTTCCCTGTTCCTTGTTTCTCTAGTGTTTTATTTTAGCATTACTACAGGCTTTTTGTCATACTCTTACCTTATTCTTAGGAGCCCCCAGTGGCACAATGGGTTAAACTCCTGTGACAGCAGGACTAAAGACCAACAGGTTGGAGGTTCGTGGATGAGCTTCCTCTGTCAGCTCCAGCTCTCCATGTGGGGACATGAGAGAAGCCTCCCACAAGGATGGTAAAACATCAAAACATCCAGGTGTCCCCTGGGCAATGTTCTTGCAGATGGCCAATTATCTCACAACAGAAGCGACTTGCAGCTTCTCAAGTTGCTCCTGATGTGAAAACAAAAAAAAAATTGAGGGGCTCTCCACATTTCCCATAGCTACTTTGTTGCCAGGACTTACAGTTCAATAATTGTGTGGCCTGGCCAACAAAACACTGCTAAAATCCTGCAAATCTCTGGGTAAAACAGGCAAACAAATGTCGCTGTTCTAGAAGAAGCAAAGACTACCAGCATGGAAGTGATGATCCTCTGCCATCAACTTTACTGGACTGGCCACTTTGTCTTTTCGTATTTACGATGTCATAGGCATCCCTGAAACCTGTCACTGGAACGCAGACATTGAGGGCTCTAACCTCTCTCACAGAAACAAAACAAAGGGGAGAGGAGGGGGAGAAGCCTTATGAGTCAAAAACAGTTACGCCACAGAAGAGATGCAAGACTTCGATCCAGGAAACTAGCTTGAAAGCTTCTGGGACTCAAAAAGATCTCATTGTGGGTATCTACTACAGACCTCTGAGCCAGGATGAAGAACTTGAAGAAGGTGTCAACAGTTGACCAAACAGGAACAAAGAAGAGATATAATAGTCATGGACGATTTCAACGGTCCCAATATGTGCTGGAAAACAAACTTGGTCAAGAGTACAAAGTCCAACAAATTCCTTGCTTGTCTTGCAGACAATGTTATGGTCCAGAAGGTAGAAGAGGCAACCAGGGGATCGGCTACTGTCAAAGTCATCCTTGGCAGGGGGTTGGACTGGATGGCCCATGAGGTCTCTTCCACCTCTAGGATTCTATGATTTTATGATGACTGACTAAAACTATTTACGCAAATAATAATAATAATAATAATAATAATAATAATAATAATAACCAAAAGCAAGTTCATACCATGAAGTAGCTGTTTCCTGATCCATATTCAGTCTTCAAATAGGATATGCAGCCCACTTCTATTATATAAAAATTGTTAAGAGAAGCTAGGTTGTTGTAGATTTTTCGGGCTATATGACCATGTTCTCGAAGCATTCTCTCCTGATGTTTTGCCTGCATCTATGGCAAGCATCCTCAAAGGTTGTGAGGTTGTGTTAAGAGAAGTCTGACTCAGAATCACACCCGGCAGATCTGCTCGCACCTCTTTTCATGAGTGTGAAGTCACTTCCTAGGAAAATAGCTAAGCTGCAGCTCTTAGGACCAACAAAGACCTTAGATAAACTGCAGAGTCTGCCTTTTTCCAAGAACACTACTTGTGTTGGGCTTTAGCAATGATAAAATAAGAAGAATCATTGTAATTTGTTTACTATGTACAATTGTTCTGCCAAGTAAAACACATGAAAGATCTACACTTCATGATGGGCCTCACACACTTAAGACTTCCATCAGAAATTTGCATCAATACAAATTTGCATCTGAATGTCAGAAACATTCATATTTTGATTTGTTGTCGAAGGCTTTCATGGCTGAATCACTGGGTTGCTGTGAGTTTTTCGGGCTGTATGGCCATGTTCCAGAAGCATTCTCTCCTAATGTTTCGCCCACATCTATGGGAGGCATCCTCAGAGATTTGAACACACCTCACAACCTCTGAGGATGCCTGTCATAGATATGGGTGAAACGTCAGGAGAGAATTCTTCTGGAACATGGCCATACAGCCCAGAAAACTCACAGCAACCCATTCATATTTTGCATTGTTTCCCTTAAGTCAGGGCTGCTGGCGGCAACTCTCAGCAGTTCTCTCAGCTGGCTGTGCTGGCTCCTGCTTGTGGGAGCTGCATTCCAACAGCATCTACAGAACTGCCTTTTACTGCTCCCAGAACAGTTGAGATTTGAATTTGGGAAGGACATTCAGACTAAGAGAAGCTGATAGGATATCCTCACATGCCCATGCAACTGATTTCAATTTTGCAACCTGGCTGGCTTGTGAGTAGTGTGGAATTAGTGGGAATTATGCAGCCCTCCTTGAGCTTTTGTAATTTGCAAGATTCATTACCCAATTCAACTACTGGGTGCTTGGGGGGTGGGCACCACACAAGTTGTACCCTTCAGTGGGAAAGCTGATAGCCACACAGCAGAGATACGTGTACGTTGGGTTGCTGTGAGTTTTCCAGGCTGTATGGCCATGTTCCAAAGCATTCTCTCCTGATGTTTCGCCCACATCTATGGCAGGCATCCTCTGTGGTTGTGAGGTCTGTTGGAAATTAGACAAGTGAGGTTTATATATCTGTGGAATGCTTAGGTGGGAGAAGGAACTCTTGTTTGTTTGAGGTAAATGTGAATTGATCACCTTGATTAGCATTGAATAGCCTTGCAGCTTGAAAGCTTGGCTGTTTCCTGCCTGGGGGAATCCCCTTTGTTGGGAGGTGTTAGCTGGCCCTGATTGTTTTATGTCTGGAATTCCCCTGTTTTCTGAGTGTTGGTCTATATTTACTGTCCTGATTTTAGAGTTTTTTAAATACTGGTAGCCAGATTTTGTTTATTTTTATGGTTTTCCCCTTTCTGTTGAAATTGTCCACAAACATGCTTGTGGATGTCAATGTGGACTTTCTTCTTGGTAGTGCTAGCCCTCTTAGCAGACTGAAGGAGAAAAATAAGTCTCAGATAACAACTTTAGGGCATTTGACAACAAACACACACTCCCAATCAGGAACCAGTAGGTTTCACCCCAGAACATAGAATCTTCAGTTTGAAATAAAACTTCCAGAATCCAAACATTTAGTGGTCATGTTGCCAAAAAGTTCAGGATGTCCCACTACAAAACACACCTTCCTATTGATGAAGGCATGGTGGAAATTCATAATACATATATTGGAAAATATATATTGAATGTAACCATATTAGAAATAGGAATTAGAAAATATATATGAAATCACAAAGGGATATGCATGCCTGAACATTCACTTGGGAAGATATACTTTTCCCAAAAGCTGCAAATTAGATGCCAAAAAGAAGCCAGAAAGAGGCCAGGGTCTATGGAAAGGAATGTCTAAAGGCTTCTGGCAAATATCAAGAGACTCTTCCATTTTGTACCAAGCAGGGCTTATCGTAAGATTAATGTTGAAGCCTTGTCATCAAGAGGCTTCAGTTCCAGGGAGGACTTATCTCAAGATGGATGGAAGCTCTTGCTATCAGTAGCCGGTGTAGGCACTCTGGCACTATGGGATATAGGATGGTCCTCTAATAGCAACTCTTTAGATAAAGGTGCTTAATGGAAGATTAAAGGTATTGGAGTTAAAAATATGTTGTTGGAAACAATGTAAAGTGGAATTTTGTGACACACATTATGATGCTTGTATGATGTATGCATATTATTATAAAGGGTATATAAACCAAGGCAATTCCTTTGTTCATCACCCTGTTTCCTGGAATACCTGCAAGGTCTATATCCGGTTGGCACCAACCGAGAATAAACCGTGCTTTTACAGACCTCAGGAACTCTCTTTTGTCTCTTTTCCTCAAACCTTCTCCTTGCCGCTTCACCATCAAAAACAAAAACCCAGAGAGATATGTAGACAGAGGCAAGAAGCTCAGGTGAGAATCAAAATTTAATTGAGGGTTTGTCTGTTGGTAGATTGTCTTGGGAGCTGGTTTCTTTCCTATTACTTGTCACTGTTGCTGAATTGAGAGTGAAACATCTGGAGGTCAAAGCAGAAGTGAAGTGAGAGATGAGGGGGCGACGAGGAGGAGAGTGGCAGGTGGCCAAACATCCAGAAGGGCAATGGGAGAAGGAGGGATCTGAGCAGGCTGCTGACTGCAACAACGTGCCCACAAAAGTGCTGACCCACAACACCCCACAAAGCATAGCCCAGTGACCCAATATGTCTGTAGCAGCACTCTTTGCACTTGTGCTTCAGAAAAACACAAAGCAATGCAATGCAACTTTCAGATCAAATGCACCTTAACCTCAGACTCGGATACTACAATGCACACACACACATCACACTATACTTGATTTTGAAAATAATTGAAACTGGGCAGGGACAGGTAAGGACACCCATACCTGGACACCCATACGCGCGCACTCACACACATGTATACACAAAAAGCAACCAGCTATGGACAGAATGCAGCACAGAGAGTTAAACACAAACTCATAACCAAGAGCAAACCATAGCACCTAACATTTTTTTCAAGTGACAACAACACGAAAACACACAGTCCTGCATCAATATGCAAACACAACTGTCATTCTGATCTAAAGACAGCCCTTCAGTCCCCAGGTATGAGCCACCTCCCCCAGCAAGTGTGTTCATGCCATTTTACACTTGGATACATTGATGACTGAAGCAAGCCCAGAGAGCAGATACTGCACAACACACGCAAAAGCCGGCTTGTAGCACTGCAACCGTGGAGGGTAGAGGGAAGCGCCATTCTCAACATATCTTAGGTAATTCCAGTGGGGGAGGCTGAGGAGCAGAGATCTGGTAGCTGCGTGGGAGCAGGGAAGCGAGGAGCAGCAGAAATGGAGGGCACGGCCTAAGGGGCACTTTGCCAGAGTCTGTGCACAGGGGATCAGCAGGCAAGCTAGAATGCGGAAAGGGCAGTGCTTATAGGACACTTGGGTTGCGGAAGTTGTGCCCAGCAAAACGGGCTTCGTCGCCAAGCTCCTCCTCAATCCTGTGGAAGACAGAAATAGAGACAGTTGGTGGATATCACAAATCCTAGTCACATATGGGGCACAGTCTAAGTTGATGTCCTCTGAATAGCAAGGAAAAACCTAACTGCCAATGTCAGATCCATGTCCGATCCATGTGGGACAGTGGGGGGTCAAACATGGATCTGATATTGGCAATCAACTATGTGAGGATGCTTTTTGCAGACTTTAGTTCTGCATTTAAAACAATCCTTCCACATAGATTGGTGTCTAAACTTATGGATCTTGAACTGTCATATTCAGTCTGTTCCTGGACTATGGATTTCTTGTCTGGACATTCCCATAGGGTTAGATTAGGTAATTCTTCAGCTCTCAGTCTTAACACTGGGACACCACAGGGCTGTTCAACCCGAGCTCTGGGGATTACAAGAAGCACTGCCTGAATATCAAGCAAAAAGTGGGCACTAGAAACAATATTATACGAAAGCTGACTGGCACAACCTGGGGATCACAACCAGATGCAGTGAAGGCACCTGTCCTTGCGCTTTGCTACTTTGCTGCTGAATACACATGCCCAATGTGGAACACATCTCACCACGCTAAAACAGTGGATGTGGCTTTTAATGAGACATGCTGCATTATCATGGGGTGTCTGCACCCAACACCACTAGAGAAATTACACTGTTTAGCCGGTATCGCACCACCTGACATCCGCCGAGAGTAACAACCAATAGTGAAAGGACCAAGGCAGTGATATCTCTGGCCCTGGCTGATACCCATCGGTTTTTTTGATGCGTGCAATGTGCAAACTGAGGATATGGCTCAGAATTTCTAGTTGCATTTCTGAGCCTTCAAATGCTAATGAAGGTGATCAGCTGAAACATTCACACCTAGCTGCAGCAGGGAAGAGCTCCTTGCCCCACCCCAGCCATTCCACAGATATATAAACCCATTGTCCTAATTCCAACAGACCTCACTACCTCTGAGGATGCTTGCCATAGATGCAGGCGAAACGTCAGGAGAAATGCCTCTAGAACATGGCTCTATAGCCCGAAAAAAACCCACAAGAACCTAGTGATTCCAGCCATGAAAGCCTTCGACAATAGATTCTGATCTGTATCCCATTTCCATCATAAGTCAGATAGCCCTTCAATTGTGTTCCAAGGCAATCAAGTCTCCCCTAGCCAAGACACCCCCAGAAGCAGAAGATCCCTTGAACTGGCTCAGTAAAAATGTAATACCAAAAATTTATATTTTTATACTTTTTAAATCCTGTTGCGATGCTTACCTCATTAGCTGATTATATTTTGCAAGTCGTTCAGACCTGCATGGTGCTCCAGTCTTTATCTGTAAAAGACCATGTAAATTCAATGTTTGTATGGAAGCACACACATTTTTGTAAGTACATAGAACCCCAGAAAATGCCTCAAACCCAGTGAGACCCTTGGCTCTTCCAGCCCAGTACTGTCAACTCTGCCTGGCAGGGATTCAGGTAGGTTTCTTTCCTAGTGCTACCTGGAGATCCCTAATATTTCCTGGTGGTCCCCATGCTAACCCAGCCTTACACTGCATAACTTCCAAAACTGGATAAGATGGAGATGTTCAAGGCAGTATTGCCATCCTCTAATGTATAGTGTTAGAGCCTAGGCCTGATTCTTCCTAAGAGGAGGTAGTAGACATGATTTTTTCCCAGGTAGAACCTACCTGACCAGTACAGAGTCCAACCACTAGGTCAGCAATGAAGGTGTCTTCAGTCTCCCCTGATCGGTGACTCACCATCACACCCCATCCATTCTCCTGGGCCAGTTTACAGCTATGGGGCGATAGAACAAACATAGTGCGTATGGTTCCTGGAGGGCTTGTGGCTCTTGGGAAATGAGGGAGATTTGGAATTAACTTACGCCTGAATGGCTTCAGTAACGGATCCAATCTGGTTAACCTTAAGCAGGAGGCAGTTGCAGGCCTTCTCTTCAACAGCTCGCTCAATGCGTTTAGGGTTGGTGACTGTCAGGTCATCCCCTACTATCTGAATCCCTACGTTTGCTGTGAACTTGGACCAGGCCTCCCAGTCATCTTGATCAAAGGGGTCCTCAATTGACACCACTGAAGAGAGAGGAAGGGAAGGAGGAAGGAAGATGACGGGTTTGCTACACACAGCCTGGCACAGCTTCCAGGACTTGAATGGCAGAAACTCTAGGATGATCTGCTCTACTGCTGTCGTTTTGGACCCAGTTGGCTCACCTGGATAGTCCCGAACAAAGCTCTGATAGAGGTCCCCCAGCTCATCGGCAGAGATATAGCGGCTGGGGTCGTCAGGGGATTTGAAGTCCAAGTCGTATTTGCCATCTCTGTAGAATTCTGAAGCAGCAACATCCATGCCAATCACAATCTTGTCAGTGTAGCCAGCTTTCTCAATGGCTTCTTTCAGGAGTTCCAATGCTATGGGAGAGAAAAGGCATCTTGAGAATGAAAATGTCCTCCCGATATCTAAAATAGTAGTCCTTTGAACAGAGTCCCAGTGAGGAATAAGGAAGGGTAAAAGAAGCCTGATTTGGTGACAGTACCCACAATGTGGAATAGCCTTCAGCAAAAGAGAAGAGTCCTTTCTTCCACCGAGGTTTACTTCAGATTGTCAGCTACTAAGCTACAGGCACACCTGCTTAAATAGAACTGCACTTTTTGCTAAGTCATTGCATCCATTTAACCCTTTCAGGGCAATAGTATGATAGCTGGGATCCTATGCTAGTTGTGCAATGTGGGTCTGATTTAATGAAAGTAACACATGCGCGAGTGAGCGCACCGAGTGAGAGATGCAGCTATGGCGGAGTCGTTGTAATGAAAGGAAGGATAAAAAGGAGTGGGAAATATGACCAATGGAAGGAAAGATAAAAAGGGGGGAAATACGATCTTTTGGCACAGATAGCTTATTTCTATCCTGTTTAAGGTCTTTGTAAGCTGCAGTTTATCATTTAACATTAAATAACTGTTACATTACTTCACTCTTCTCCTGTCGCACGTGAGTTAAATTACTTCTCTGCTGTCCTCTCCCAGCTCCGTCTCTCACTCGCTCCACTCACTCGTGCATGTGTTCCCTTCATTAATTCAGACTCGCGTTGCGCAACTAGCGTAGGGTCCCAGCTATCATACTATTGCCCTGAAAGGGTTAAATGTATGCAATGACTTGGCAAAAGGTACAGTTCTATATAAGCAGGTGTGCCTGTAGCTTAGTAGCTGTCAGTCTGAGGTAAACTTCAGTGGGAGAAAGGTCTCAGTCTGTGATAAGGCCTCACAGTGTGAGGTAGGAGTTACTCTGTGAGAGAAGGCCTCAGTGTGAGGTAGGACTTACTCTGTGAGAGAAGGCCAAACAATATGAGGTAGGCCTTAGTCTGTGAGAGAAGCCTCTGTGTGAGGTAGGCCTCACAATGTGAGGTGGGCCTTAGCCTATAAGAAGGCTGAGTGTGAGAAGCTACTGTGAGAGAAGCTCCAGGTTGAAGGTCGTATGTGTAAAAGCTACTGTGTGAAGCTCCTGTGTAACTTCGGTGTGAGAAAAGACTCTGTGAGAATGAAGCTCTTTATCTACATGAGGGAGAAGCCCAGCGTGGAAGTGAAGAAGGACATGTAAAGAACTTTATTTGTGTTATGAAAACTTTATTCTTGTAAATAGTGCAACCATATTATTTTGCTATAGAAAAGCCTCCTATGGAAGAGAGATAACATTGGTTTATGTGTTTTTGTTCTTTCTATCATTTTGGGCTACTGATGCTGGGTCACGCTGCTGCTGATAAGACACTGCTGTACATTTATGAGGAGGGCCTTTTGTTAATAAGCCCACTCGCCCAACAGGAGTAACCTTGCTTTAGGAATGTTCTACCAAAGAATGTAACTTTTCACTGGGGAACTATATAGGGTGAGAATGGGAGTGTTCTGGAGATGAAAAGAAGCGGTTATCCATTTTTCTTCTTCACCTTCACTGTTCTCCAGGATGTTTGGGGCAAAACCTCCTTCATCTCCCACATTGGTGGCATCTTTTCCATACTTGTCCTTGATGACGCTCTTGAGATTGTGGTAGACCTCAGCACCAATGCGCATGGCATCCCGGAAGCTCTCTGCTCCAACTGGCAAAATCATAAACTCCTGCATGGCCAGCTTGTTCCCAGCATGGGAGCCCCCGTTGATCACATTGAAGGCCTAGAGGAGTCCAGTGAGACAAGAAGCAAGAAGTGAAATGCAACAATAAAGCCCTGGGTACACCCACATGATCAATTTGCACTCTGAAATTCATTTAACTGTCATAGCTTCTTGCACAAAGGACCTCAGATTTTATGAGGCTGCTGTTCATTTTGTAAAGTAATGTCATGCTGCTACACTAGGGGTGTCAACACCGTTTTCATCAAGGGCCTTATGGTTTCCTTCAAAGTGTTGTTGAATCCTTGGAGGGAGAATCTTGTTGAAGCATGCAAGGAATTAGAGAGAGAGAGTGTGTGTGTGTGTTAACTGTAAAATATGATGTATGAAGCTGATTGGTTGGGCAATGCCTGGGGAGATGGCTGAGACTGGGACTTTTGGTTACTGTTACATTTTTGTTCAGGCTTGAGCTATGCAGATGTGCAGAGAGAAGCAGAGAGAGACACAGAGTTTGAAGTGGAGAAAGAAAGACCATTTTAAATATCTCATAAAAGGACATTATGTGAGTTGGTGCAAGTGATCACATTGTACATATGTTGTTCTGAATTACGAAGAGTAAACTACAGTATTTGTTATTTACTGTTTACTTGGGTGGCCATATTTTCTTTCTCTGGTAAGGCAGTGTGTGGGCTGATCAGACGTGAATTACATGTGTTTTATTTTACAATACACCACAAATCAATGGATAATATCATTTTGGGGGGTCCCGAGGTGTTACTGAGCAATAACACCCATTACTTTTGATTACACAATGTAACATGATTTTTGTTCCTGGATTATAAATGCTATTTCCTAATTAGTTCTATCATAAAAACATGGAAAAGGATTATTAAACGTGGACATCCTGCAGCACAGTTTGCTATAGTTTTTCAATGAATATCTCATGGTGTCTCAACCAATTCAACACAGTTTGTGACAGCCATGTTTCTGGAGTATAACAATCACTTTGTAGTAAGTACTACACAATTAAACAGGAAATAACACTTTCAAACTAGGAGCAGAGCACTTTTCAAATGTTGTGTTATTAAATGTTGTGTTTTCAAATTGCGTTATTATTGTTTATTATTTGTGTTTTCAGTTTTGTTTTCTTTCATGTAATTGTTGTTTTGGGCTTGGCCTCATGTAAGCTGCACCGAGTCCCCATCGGGGAGATGGAGCAGGGTACAAATAAAGTTTATTATTATAATTATTATTGTGACATAGTGTTATCTGTCATGTGGACTGGAGCTAATGAGAATTGCAACCCAACTGCACTTGTGGCTCTGAGGTTGGGAAAAGATTAAAGGACATCTTAAAGTCAGACATCATATGCACACGCCTTGTGTCTAAAGTCAAAGCTCAATATCCTGACTAAACAGAAGAAATGGCAGCCTTCCAGATGTTACTGCATCACAACTCCCATCAGCTCTGATCATGTTGTCTAATGATGAGGAATACAGGAGTTGTATGTAGTCCAACATCTGGAAGGCCACATAAAATGGCATGACAAGTTCTACAGAACAAAAATGCCATGTTTGTTTGTTTTTGTGATAGAAAAGCAGGGCTGAATTTGGTTTGGATTTGTAACATGGATATAAAATCTGTCTATGTGTACAAAAGATTTCGGTACTGAGGAAAAGGATTGTCTCTGTTATCCCTATACCTCCTTTATGTTCTCTTTCTGAAGTTAGGAATGAGAAGGTTCTTACAGGGACTGGCAGGATCAAATCCGAATTTCCAGCGAGGTCAGCAATATGTCGGTACAGAGGGACCTCCTTCTCGGCAGCCGCCGCTTTGCAAACAGCCAGGGAAACGCCCAGGATAGCATTGGCTCCAAAGTTAGCTGTAAAGATCACATTGTGTGATAGCATAGCAAACCATAAGAGGCTTATTCCAACCCCTAAAACAAACTTCCAGTCATTTATTTTTATTTTTAATTTGCCCTGTGGCATCTCTTACTATTGCATTCCTTGCATATTGCCGACATGAGTCTACAGCCCCATGTACACTGCCGTGTAAATACAGATTATCTCCTTTGAACTGAATTATATGGCAGTGTAGACTCATATAATCCAGTTAAAAGCAGATAATGTGGATTATTTGTGTTGATAATCAGGTAAAATCAGAAGAATGGTGCTTGCTCCATCAATGTTTAATATTTACACAAATGATCAGCCACTGCAAGAAGGGACAGAGTTTCATCTGCGCTGATGATCATGCCATCACCACTCAAGCAGGGAGCTTTGAAATGGTTGAACAGAAGCTCTCCAAAGCTTTAGGTGCTCTTACTGCCTATTATAAGGAAAACTAGCTGATTCCTAATTCAACTAAAACACAGATGTGTACCTTTCATCCTAAGAACAGATAAGCATCCTGAGCTCTGAGGATTATCTGGGAAGGAATCCCACTGGAACAATGCAGCACACCCAAATACCTGGGAGTTACCCTGGACAGTGCTCTGACTTACAAGAAGCACTGCTTGAATATCAAGCAAAAAGTGGGTGCTAGAAATAATATAATATTGTGACTGGCACAACCTGAGGATCATAACCAGATATAATGAAGACATCTGCCCTTACACTTTGCTAGTCTGCTGCTGAGCATGGATGCCCAGTGTGGAGTACATTGCACCACATTAAAACGGTGAATGTGGCTCTTAATGAGACATGCCGCATTATCACAGTATGTCTACGCCCAGCACTACTGGAGAAATTATACGGTTTAGCTGGTATTGCACCACCTGACATCCACTGAGAAGTAGCAGCCAATAATGAAAGGACCAAGGCAATGACATCTCTGACCCATCTTCTCACAGAAACACCAGAGCTACTCCAAGTGGCGAGCTTCTGGTGAAAGGACATTTAGCATAAGGCCAAGTTTTAAAAACTTTGTTATGTACCCTCAACTTGCCTCTGGCACAATAAATAAATAAATCTGGATTATATGGCAGTGTAGAAGGGGCCTTAGAGACTTTCATCTCTCTGGCAGTACTCAGTTTCTCTGCCAACCAAACCTGTTCTGTCTCTCCCACCCCAAGGCATCTCTAAGTTGTTATGAGAGGAAAGGGATTACATTTATTCTCGGTCCCATCCAGCTCCAGCATGAAGTTGTCTATCTTCTCCTGCTCCTCCACCGCCAGGCCCTGCAGAAAGAAACACCAGTTCAAGGGAGGACGCTTAGGCAAAACAACATGAAGGAAATTGCTACAAATCCCTTTTGCCTGCTCTGGTTATTGTATTTCCACTTTATTATGCTGCCCTCTATGCACAGCTTTGGCTTACATTGGGAAAGACATTCCTCCTCCTTTTGATAATGCATGCATGTGCCTGTGTATTGTATGCATAAGCTCACAGACAGAGATGCTACTCCTGAGCATAAGAGAAAATAAGACAGGACGAAAAGAAGGCACAGAGGAGGAAAGATAAAGGAGGAATATAAGGGGAGCCTATGGAAAACAAAGAATAAAGGAGGATCCTTACAGAGCTCACGAGAGCAGGAGCAATAGTGTTGTTGATGTGCTCCACCGCCTGCAGCACCCCTAAGGAAAGGAAAAAGACCAGAGACTGTCACCCAAAGGCAGAAAGAAACAGCAACAGACAAGAAGAAAGGAAAGATGCCTGGGAGCACCAGCAATTCCCTGCCACTTGAGTTTGAGACTGGGGTCAGGGGAATTTCACTGGCTGGCACTGCCAATCCAAAAGCAGGCCATAGGATGCACATGTGCGTGCACAGAAACACCTCCACCCTGAGCTATGTAGCATTGTTATTTGTTCACTGAGGAGAACACTCCTACCTTTCCCAAGGAATCGGGATTTATCGTTGTCACGCAACTCCAGGGCCTCATAAATCCCAGTGGAGGCACCGCTGGGCACCGCTGCCCGGAACATCCCTGAAAAAGAGAAGGAAAAAACACCACGGAAAAAGTCAGCACATAAGTCTCCCCTGATTATTCACTAGTAAAGGCAAAGGTTTCCCCTTGACATTTAGTCTAGTCATGTCCAACTCTGGGGGTTGGTGCTCATCTCCATTTTTAAAACGAAAAGCCAGCATTGTCCATAGACACCTCCAGGGTCAAGTGGCCAGCATGGAGCGCCATTACCTGATACTTATATACAGACATAAATATGTACATAAACACAAACATTGTAGACACCTCCAAGGTCATGTGGCCAGCATGGCTGCATGGAGCACCATTACCTTCCTGAAGAAGCAGTATCTATTGATCTACTCACAGTTGCATGTTTTCAAACTGCTAGGCTGGCAGAAGCTGAGGTTGTGGTGACTCCCAACCATAACGTTATTTTCATTGCTACTTCATAACTGTAATTTTGCTACTGTTATGAACAGAAATGTAAATATCTGATATGCAGGATGTATTTTCATTCACTAGACCAAATTGTTCACAAATACCCAATATGCTCAAATATGAATACTGGTGGGGTTGAGCGGGGGGATTGATTTTGTCATTTGAGAGTTGTAGTCTCTGGGATTTATAGTTCACCTAGAGTCAAAGAGCATTCTGAACACCACCAATAATGGAATTGAATCAAACTTGGCTCACAGAAGTCCCATGACCAACAGAAAACACTAGAAGGGTTTGGTAGGCATTGACCTTGGGTTTTGGGAGTTGTAGTTCACCTACATCCAGAGAGTACTGTGGACTCAAACAATGATAGATCTGGACCAAACTTGGCACAAATACTCAATATGCCCAAATGTGAACACTGGTGAAGCTTGGGGAAAATAGACCTTGACATTTGGGAGTTGTAGTTGCTGGGATTTATAGTTCACCTCCAATCAAAAAGCATTCTGAACACCAACGATGGAATTGGGCCAAACTTTTCCTCTGGCTTCCTTTCTTTTAACATACTCATTTTGTCTGTAAATACTTGCATTTGATTGGCAATTTCTTTTTTCTTCATATCATTAATTAATTGCAAGCCAAAGTGTTGTTTAATTATTTTCAGAGCCCTTTCCCCCCTTGAGATTTTTTGTCCTGACATTCAGATGTCACTTTCTGTAGTTCAAAATGTACCTTTCTTTCCAGACTTTCATTCCATCCAGTTGTGTCTTCTTTGCTTTGCTAGATTTTGAGCCTCTCCACTGTTTTTTTTAATTAAAATTAGCTTGAATGATAAGCAGGACTCCAGTGTAGGCATATTTAGTAGTATTCACTGCCATCATGCTATCAGAGAGCTAGCATGATGTGCTACAGAGCTTTCCATACTGTCTCATAGCACATTAGTGTATCATACAGTGTAGGTGCGTCATGTGAACACTCTGAGAAACCTTTGAGTCTATGTGAAATAAACATTAAATCATATATATATATATATAATCAAAATTTTTCATGGGATATGTTGTGTCCATTGCAGTGGCACAATGGCTAAACAGTTGAGCTGCTGAACTTGCTGATTGGAAGGCTGGTGGCTCAAATCCACAAGACGGGGTGAGCTGCCACTGTTAGCCCCAGCTCCTGCCAACCTACCAGTTTGAAAAAAAATGCAAATGTGAGTAGATCAATACGTACCGCCTCAGCGGGAAGGTAAACGGCACTCCATGCAGTCATGCTGACCACATGACCTAGGAGGTGTCTATGGACAATGCAGGCTCTTTGGCTTAGAAATGGAGATGAGCACCACTTCCAGAGCCGGAGATGAAGGGGAAGCCTTCTGTATATCTGTGTGTCATTGTTTCAAAACACTGAAAGTTTGTCTTGTGTCTGTATATGCTGGAATCCACCCTGAGTCCTCTTGGGGAGATAGGGCAGAATACAAAAAAAAGTGTTGTTGTTGTTACAATTTATGTATGTGTCCATATCTCTCATAAGGGGTTGGATTAACCTCCAGTTTTCTGAATTATTGTGTCATGAAATGATGGATGTCTAAAAATCGTGTCACCAACATGAAATGTCTGGAAAGCTCTGGTGTAGTGATTTGAACCTTGGACTATGCAGAATATGCGGAATTTGCACCCACATTCAGCAATGGAATCCCTGTTCTCTGTATTGCCAGAGACTTGATTGCCCTGCTTAAATATTTGAAAGGATGACATAAGGAAGAGGGAGCAGGCTTGTTTTCTACTGCCGTGGAGCAGAGCAAGGGGTTCAAATTCCAGGAGAAGAGATTTGACCTGAACATTAGGAAGAACTTCTTGACTATAAGAACTGTTCAGCAGTGGAACTCTCTGCCTGGGAGTGTGGTGGAAGCTCCTACTTTGAAGGCTTTTAAACTGAGGCTGGATGGCCATCTGTCAGGGGTGCTTTGATTGTACTTTTCCTGCATGGTAGTGAGGTTAGACTAGATGGCCCATGTGGTCTCTTCCAACTCTATTATTCTATTATTCTAAGGTGGAACCAGATCTAATGGCTTGAAATCACAGGAGGGTAAAGTTTGACTGACCATTAGGGGGAACTTCTTGAGATTGTGGCTCCTTCCACACAGCTGAATAAAATTCCACATTATCTGCTTTGAACTGGAATATATGGCAGTGTGGACTCAGATAACCCAGTTCAAAGCAGATATTGTGGGATTTTCTGCCTTGATATTTTCTAAATTAGCACCCCAAATAATCAGACTGAATCTAAAGTTGACCAAAAACTGATTCATAACCCTTTTGTTACTAATGTTGGAGACTGGTCTCTGGTCAGAGTGGTACCTGGTCAAAAAAAGGCTGGAAACTACTGCTTTAGATAGAGCTAATCTGTAAGTGTGCTGCAATGGGCAAAGGTGAAGCTCCCACTGCCCCCTTCCCTTCTCTCTCCCACATCAGTGCATACCTTTTCCTGTGTACAAATCCACCTCAACAGTGGGATTCCCACGAGAGTCGAGGATCTCACGAGCATGAATCTTCTCCATCGACATGGCGAAGTCGGTCTTTTCTGGAGGAGAACAGAGTATGATATATACAGGCCACAGATGAAAATAAGGAACATAGAATTGGCTTTGATATCGTCACTCCATTGCTGCTTATTCCTCAGTTCTCAGCATGTGGCTCTCAACCCAAAACAGGATTGAACTATGAGTTAAGATCATCAGGATTTAGGAAGATGTGGAGGAAGAACTAAATCCCAAAATTTCCCAAAATTTATTTATTTATTTACAGGATTTATATTCCGCCCTTCTTACCCTGAAAGGGGACTCACAGCGGATCACAGAACACATGTATGGCAAGCATTCAGACATCGATAGAGGGATATATAGACTTTGCAATATTTCGGTATCTTGGAGTCTGTGCTTGGTTCTGGCCATGGGGGGGGGGGGGTGCTGTCGCCTCATCTTACCTGCTTAAGAGCTTTTCGTTTGTAAATTTCCTCCTTTTTAATAGAATTGCTGTGTCTAAATACCTCCCTGCTTTAATGTGATACCTATTTATCTACTCACATTTCTGTTTTCCACTTGCTAGGTTGCAGGGAGCTGGGCTGAAGATCAGGAGCTCATTCTGACCCAGGCTTTGAACTGTCAACCTTTTGGTTGGCAAGATTTACCACTGCTGTGCTAAAGCCCAGCCAAATACTTGCCACTTAGCAGTATGTTGTCATCTTGTCAGAATTGTATAGATTGGCCCAGAGAAATAGAAGATGTGATGGTGGAGGAACTCACATGAAGTTTTTGATGCCATATCAATGCATTGCTACAGCATATGTACCCAAAGGCAGTGCATTGAGGGCAGTCTCATGCTCTCCAGATGCATCTCTGGGTCTTTCAGACAGCTGATGCAATGTTGTAGTTTGCCTTTGGTGACGCTGTAAGATTATACATTTGTCTTACATCTGCCATACAAAGATGAGTCAGCCAGGCCAAAGTAGAAATAATCTCCTCTCTATACAAAGATATAGCGGGGCCGTGGCCTGTCTGGAAATAGCATCCTCTCATCTGGGATCCATTCTCCCCATTCACGAGGGATGGGGAGGCTGCCAAAGATGTGGTGGTGAGGGAAATATATTCGGAGCCTCCTTCGTGTCATTGCTCACGTTCCAGGATAGAGCTCTTGGTACTGAAAAAAAGGTGCTGAGGCTGAGCCCTTGGGAGCCCTGGCAAGAAGGAAAGTATTGGGATACTGCTGAGGAAGCACAGCTCCAGGCAGAGGGATTGTCTCTCCGTTACGATTCTGGTGAGGAAATATAGGTTCCTTCCACCTGGAAAAGTCCTTACTGGTACATTATTTAAACTGTTCTGTTTATTCATATCATGATCTGATCACCATGCTCATTATATCCCATATACATGAGGGTATTGGGATAAAGATACAAAAGGTTTGCTAGGGTAGATCCTCTTTCACTCAGACTCAGCCCCCCATCAAACTCAGCCCCCCCCCCAATCAAAATCCTGGCTACGGGCCTGGCCGTTGGCCTCTTGAATCCACTGGATCTTGAAATATTTATTGACAGTGGCTAACAATATTCTTTTTGAAAATTAATGTAGACATTAGCCATTTAGTGTAATAAGTAATAAGCATATGTGTGTATGTGGGTGTGCACACGTACTCTGGGATTTACTGGGGTTTTTTTCCGTGTCAGGAGCCACTTGAGAAACTTCAAGTCACTTCTGGTGTGAAAGAATTGGCCGTCTGCAAGAACGTTGCCCAGGGGACCCCACATGTTTTGATGTTCTACCAGGCTTCTCTCATGTCCCCGCATGGGGAGCTGGAGATGACAGAGGGAGCTCATCCGCACTCTCCCCGGATTCGAACCTCCAACCTGTCAGTCTTCAGTCCTGCTAGCACCCAGTTAACCCTTTACTGAGTAGATTTGGGGAGATATTTCATATTGATTAGTTATTTTTTAATGTCAACATAGCATTAAATGCAAAATATGCTTTATTTACTAGTAAAAATGATGGGGAATAAGGGACTGATTAAAACTAATGAAAGCAACATCATAAGATCACTTTGGCACCTTAGGTATGAAGTCACCCATCTTCCTTGGTTGTGATGTGGGCAAAATAATCTTGACCTACCCTATAAGGTTATGCCATTGGCAGGCATGTAGCCAGGGGGGGGGGGCGCTAGAGGGGCTTCAGTCCCCCCCCCCCCCCAAATTCTCAGGGTGGTCCGCGAGAAGTCCTTACTGGTACATTATTTAAACTGTTCTGTTTATTCATATCATGATCTGATCACCATGCTCATTATATCCCAAATGCATGAGGGTATTGGGATAAAGATACAAAAGGTTTGCTAGGGTAGATCCTCTTTCACTCAGACTCAGCCCCCCATCAAACTCAGCCCCCCCCCCCAATCAAAATCCTGGCTACGGGCCTGGCCGTTGGCCTCTTGAATCATGTGAAGTTCTTGAAATGCTTGCAATATGCTGTTTATTTATATTGGTATCTTATGTTATTTTTTATTTTCTTATTTTCTGTTGTGTTCTTCTGTTATATTGTTTTACTGTATTGCTGGGCGTGGTCTCATGTAAGCCACCCCGAGTCCCCCTTGGGGAGATGGTGGCAGGGTATAAATAAAGATTATTATTATTATTATTATTATTATTATTATTATTATTAAAAGTGTCTATTTAATTAATGCTGTAGCAGGGATGGTTTTATTTATTTAGTGTCAAAAGCATTGCATACATAAATATAAAACTGATAATATTGAGGGAACACAAGCGACTAAATAATTTTAGACCAAAAATGGGCAACAGCGACCACATTGCCTATAGCTTTAAACAATTCTTCCTCTGTACATGAGGCAGGACATTGTGGGCAAGCATACAGATGCTGAGCTGTTTGTTCTGCCCCACAGTTGCACAAGGTGGAGGATTCTTCTACGTAGTGCCATTTTGCCAGGTTGTCTTTTGATCTGCCCAAGCCACTTCTGAGTCTGTTCAAGGACTTCCAAGTTGCCCATTTTTGGTTTGTCCATGGAGGAGGACCCTTGTAGGGGTCATCCAATTGGGATTTCCTGGTTTAGCTGCCCAGAGGGATACTCTTGCTGTTGCTGGGGGGACCTTAAGAGGAGTGGTGATTCTCATGAAGCTTCCTTGATTTGAGTCTACTGGGAGGAGGCTGATAGCCATACAGTGAGTGGCTTTCACAGTGTTCAGCCTTATTTCTCTCATAGTCAAGTAGTAAAGTTTGGATGCAATAGAAAGGTAACAAATTGTTTATCATATAATTTGTTATTTTACTGACATGGATAGTAAGATGTAATTGTGAATTTTCTACTTTATGTGCCAAAATAACTTGGCCAGCTTGGGTACACAGTAAATACATAGATGGTGTGTGTGTGTGTGTGTGTGTAGCCATTTTATCTGAGCCTAGGGTTGCCCACAAGGAAGGCTTGTAAAGAGTTGACCCTCCAACCTGAATAAGTTCCACCAGCCGTTTGGCAACCCAAAGACCATAGACAACAGCCATACTTGTACCTCTGGTTCCAGCTTTGGTGGCTCACAGACCATGCAGCCAGAGGTTATACGGTTAGTGCTCACTTGCAGAGGAAAAGATGCTGAGAGATTCAAGCATAGATTTCCCATATGATGCAGTCTGATCAATTGCAGTGTCATGGCAGAAAGTCAGTTTCTTATCCACTCCCCAACTAGAGAAGATACACTTGTGTTGTGGAAACTGTACCATGATGAGGCTATATCCATTCTAGGGCTATAATATCACTTTTAAAACAGTTTATGCTAGGTGAGACAAAGTGCCTGTCTACTGCAGTTTTGATACTCAGCAAGACATCCATAGGTAAAGACAAAGGTTTCCCCTGACATTAAGTCAAGTCGTGTCCAACACTGGGGGTGGTGCTTATCTCCATTTCCAAGCTGAAGAGCCAGTATTGTTCATACACAACTCCAAGGTCATGTGGCTAGCATGACTCCATGGAGCGCCGTTACCTTCCCACAGAAGTGTTACCTATTGATCTACTCACATTTGCATGTTTTCAAACTGCTAGGTTGGCAGAAGCTGGAGCTAACAGCGGGAGCTCACTTCGCTCCCCAGATTCGAATTGCCAACCTTTCGGTCAGCAAGTTCAGCAACTCAGCGGTTTGACCCCTGAGCCATCAGGGGGCCCAAGACATCCATAGGAAGCCCAATAATAAATTGTCATTACCTACTTATTTCTCCAAAGGAATTGCGGAAGTTGTAGTTTGATACATTAGAAGAGGTTTCTCGTCAGAGAGGTGTTTATTACCTTTTACTGGATTTTAGATAGGTTAAAAAATTTCACATAGATACGATCTAAGAAACAAGAGAAAGACTTCAGAGAGGATACGGCCTTCTCCTGTCTCTAAATCAGGTCCTGAAGGTGAATATCCAAGAGTATTTTTACCCTGCTCTGCACTATCAAGAAGACACAACACATCCCACTAAATAGCAGCATGCCATGATACAAACAGCACATGATGATGAGACGATAGTGAATAATGGTTATTGTAGTAATTGTTTATTAATTATGTAATATGTTAGGTTGTTAACTGTTTTTACACTGTAGCATTGAATTTTTGCTGTTCTTATTTGTTGTGAACCGCTGTGAGTCGCCTTCGGGCTGAGAACAGCGGTATATAAGTAAAGTAAAGTAAAGTAAAGTAAAGTAAAGTAAAGTAATAATAATAAATCCTTAGCTGGTGGTAATCCAGATTTGTTTAGGAAAGTGAGGTGAGAGAAAGAGATCTTTCTGATCGTGCCATTATTCCTGGACACCAGCTCTTAAAACTATTGGTGAACTGTTTTGCTATTATGTTTTTTCCAACAGGAGCACAGTAATGTACTTGAATATGTCCTTACCTGGAGAAATGTTTGATCTGTGTTTAAACAATTGCAAATTTAGACAAATTAAATTATGCGAAGTGTAATCTGTATCAGTTCTGCAAATTGAGCAATTGCCACAGTCCTTGGCTGGCATACATTATTCTACAATTTCACCATTTGGCACACTTGGTCCTAGTTTTCATTCATCCCTGGAAGGAGGATCTAGCTATATGAAGCACTGACAGCCAATTCTCCAACCTCTAGAGCAGAGTTTTTGCACCCATGGTCCACCAGACATTACCACAAATTTTCAAGCATACTTTTAAGGACTATCATGTCGCTAAAATATAAATTCTGTGCCTGTTCCCAGATTCTGGAGCAGTCAGGGATCCTGGATGGACACATTTCCTCCAGGGGGGAATGAGGAATGTTCTTTAGCAAACTATTTGTAGTGGGAACAAAAAGTTACAAATGGTTTCATGAGTTATCAAGTTATCAGGTTTTACTAGCTAGTGTATAAATGCTCCATTTCACAGGTTTCCAAGATAAGGCCCACAGGCCGAATCTGGCCCACCAAGGTCTTTCCCCCGGATTCTGTTGGTACCACTGTACACAACGCAGTGCACACACAGTGCATGTATGCAGCAGCAGCAGCAGCAACAAGTGTGTACGTGTGGTGAGGGTGAGTGGCAGTGGTGGATTTGTAGTGACAGTGCAGCGAATGCATATATGTGGTGGTGCGTGTGCCATGAGGGTAAGTGTGAATGCCAACAGCGGGTGTATGGCTGTGATGGTGGCAAGTGTGCATGTGCAGTGGTGTGTGTGTGGCACATCTAATGCACACACACACTCAGTTAAAAGTCCCTCCCCCCAAGTCTGAGGGATCGTGAACTGGCCCTCCACTTAAAAAATTTGGAGGCCCCTACTCTGTATGTTTTCCAAACAAACAGAGTAATGCTTGGGAAAAAATATAGTTATTTGATACTAGCAAAATGGACATCATCAAGATATTAGTTGAACACAAAATGCCTTATGTACTGGGTTATCCATCTTGCAGATGACTGAGAGGTGGGCTGCCTGTGTGCTGGGAGACAAGGCATTTAGCAGTACAATGTTCTCTCACTAATTCATGGTTCGCTTTTAGCTGTTTTGTGGGTTTTTGAAAATATTGATTAAAAATATTAAATATTTACGTCCAGTGGAGGGCAGGGAGGCCAGGGACCCCAGAAGTGCAGGGGCCTGAGGCACGGTGAGGAAGGCCTGCCTCCCTGGCCTGCTGCGCAGCTCTGGAGGCTCTGCGGAGGCCAGGGAGGCAGGCAAGTGCCCTTGGGATGGGCTGGGAGGCAGGTAAAGAAGTGCAGGTAAGAAAATAATTTATAAAAAAATAAAATAATGTATAAATATTAAAATTAATATGGTGTCCCTACTTCGTGGATTATCACTTATTGGGGGTGGTCCTGGAATGGAACCCCCATGATAAGTGAGGGAACACTGTAATTTGAAACTCTATGCCCGACACTTTTCTGTGATAAGAGTTTTATTCATGGGCAGTCCATGGTTGCAGAGATATAGCGATTACTGTATGGGTCCATCTTTTCAAAATACTTCAAAATGTTGACACTACTTTTTTTTTCCAATGATACCAAAGAACCTTCAGGTGACTCTCTTCCAAGCAGGGATAAAATGCTAAGTTTCACAGCAAAACTAAGCTGTATTCACTTTCAGATCCTTCTTGCCTCTGGACTGTTGCCCCAGAAACAGAAATGTTTGTCAGGAAAAGCAAGATGCCCACTCATTCCAGAAACTTACTATTGTAATATTTGGCTGTTGTTGTCTACTTGGCTTGCAGAGGAATTGGCAACTGTATTCTAATGAAAAACCTGGGAGGATGGTGACCGAAAAAAAGGGCATTACAGAATAATTCAGCTGCCCTCGCCAGGAAGCAGCTGACTTGTCTTCGTGATCAGCTGCCTCCTTCTTAACTGATGCTAAGCCACAATTGGCTTGCAAGAGCTATAATCTGGAAGGAAGAATTAATACAAGAATGGCAAAGCTATGTTGATCTTATGCTCTGGAAGGAAAAGACATCCCTCCACCTGCATTGTATATGTGACGCAGAGGGCAGGCTACAAGAGGGAGGGGCGAAATGGAGAAGGCCGCTCCACCACAGTGGGAGAAAAGGGGATGGAGGAGGCAGAGGAGGGAGAAGTGGGGGGGGGGGGAATGAAGGAGGAGGCTGTTCCAACAGGGGCAGACAACAGAAGTAAACACACAAGCAGCAGCACATTGAGGTTCTTGGGGTCCCTTTCATTTTAGGAATTGATAATATAATGTTGCTCTTGTGCCAAGCAAATGTCCACACTTTGGGGATTTTGCTTATCAACACCAGTGCTTCCTGGAATACACATAGATAGCTGCCTTCCTCCTACCCATCTCCCACACTTTCTGGGTTGTCATCCCCCCACCAGCTGCTGCAATGGCTGGCTGGACAGCTGCTCCACATGTTGAAATGTCTGGTAGTCTGTCAGAAGCTAGACACTCATGGTGGGGTGCTCAGACTGATGCAACACCACGAGAACGACTTCAGCAGGAGTGTTGGACCCATGGGGTCCTGGCATATGTTCACCCGTGTATGCTACATACAGAGTTCATTTGGTAAACAATCTTGGCCAAAGAATCCCGAGCCACTCATTAGCATGACTGCCAGCTTTCTAGTTTGGATAGAAATAGGAAATAATTCTTGGCACATTGCCTGTTATGCTAATATCCATTCCTCCCAAAAGTGCTCAGATTCCAGAGGAGGCAGGACATCTGCGACCTGCCTTTCTGTCTTCTCCAGCTCTCTCATCTTCATTTTCACATCCCTCATCTCTACTTTCTCTGTCCCCATTTCCCTTTCCGAGGGATGTTTTCATCCTGAAGGGGAGGGGAGAGCAAAGATAACAGCACTAGCCCTGTCCTGAAAGGAGGTCAGGGCCAGATAAGCAGGGATAAGGGATGGAGAGGGAGTGGTGTTGGTGGTGGTGGGGAGGTATGGCTCCCCACAAGCAATGATTTGGATCAAGAATATATAAAACTGTTATGGAAAGCTAGTTAAAAGTGGATGTTTTTCATAAACCGCATCTGCAGGGATCCTGGGGTGTGCTGCCTTCCCTAGTGTCCAGGCAATATTGTGTTTTCTCCTGGATCCTAGATGGTTCCAGGACATTACTCTGGAAGGCACAGCAGTCCTAAGACAGTACAGTGTCTGTGTAAATTGACATGACCTGCCAATTATTTACTCTTGCCTGTTTCTCTCGGCTTTCTTTTCAATGCCCAAAGGGAAGCACTTGATAAAACCCTTTACTCCTTGGACAAGAACACAATAGCATGGTCTACTACCACACCACAGAGCTGCTTTTCTAAGTGGCAGGAGAACCCAGGTCGATCCCTGGAGTTGCAAAAGTCCTTTGCTTTGCAGACTCACATTTCTTAAAGAACTTAAATTTCATCCCTGCTCACTTTCCCAGTACCTTGGCCAGATATCTGTATCCCAGTACATGGAAAGAGGCATTTTCAGCAGTCCAAAAAGGCAGGAGGTTAAAAGCCAAGCAGCAAAAGCAAGAAAGCACACAAGAAAGGGGTGGGGGGATAGGAAGACATGGTGAAAAAACAAACAAACAATTGGTTGGTATTTTTGTGATGCCTCTTAGAGATGAATGTGAAAAGTGCTAGGAAAGGGGTGAAGTCACTTACCTTCCTAGTCCAGTGGTAGGAAGGCTGGCCAAGGTAGCACCACTTAAGAGGAGCTGAGTGGCAGGATCAAGGAGGCAGGACTGGAAGGGGAGCTGCTCTGTCCTCTGAGCAGCAGCAGCAGCAGTGATGGGATGGAGCTGCCCCTGATAGGGCCTTGATGGCAGCATGTGACCCAGAGCTGTGATGAGTCAGGATTTCGAGGGAGCTTTGCAAACAGCACGTAGAGGATGGAGAGAGAGATGGAGAAGGGAGGGGTGGATAATGCTGCAGGAATGGGTGGCCAAAAGCAAAACACTCTGCTTGCCTTTATCAGACAGGGTTTGTTTTTTTTGTTTTTTTAATTCACATGCCTCAAATCACAACTCTTGATTGAAAGCACAGAGACAGCTCTCCCCCTTTACCACCCTGCAGGGGGACTCTGGCTCTCCTGAAAGAGCAACACAGCAGTCTTCTGACACGTCTGGATACCAGCACAGTGCTGTCTAGGGCTGCATAAGACAGCAAAGAAGCCTCTGGAAGGCAGCTCCAGCTCCACCAATGTCATTCCACTGGTATTTCCTCCTCTGGGGAAGGGTCCTCTGGTTCCTGGAAGATGGAGGGGAGGGGGAGAGAACAGCAGGGCTTAGGGGATTTCCAGATATTTTAGGTGGGAGCAAGCAAGCTGATTTGGCACATCCTACATCCATAAGCTGTATCCGGAGTGATCTGATTATGCCTACCAGCCACCTTGATAGCCCAGAGAGCAAGGGGAGGGATGCAATCCATAAGGAAAGGCCCCTGCACTGGTGCCATTGAAATAAAGGCCGCCTGAGTAGGAAAAAACCTCCATGTCATTGGGTTGTTTTGATTTTTCCGGGCTGTATGGCCATGTTCCAGAAGCATTCTCTCCTGATGTTTCGTCCACATCTATATCCTCAGTTTCCAACAACATCCTTAACCTCTGAGAATGTCTGCTATAGATGTGGGCTAAAGTCAGGAGAGAATGCTTCTGGAACATGGCCATACAGCCCGGAAAACTCACAGCAACTCAGTGATTCCGGCCATGAAAACCTTCAATAACTCCATGTAATTGTGCACTATTTGCACATCTGAATATTTTCCTGATATTTTGGACTACAACACCCATCTTCGACTGTGCTGTCTAGGGCTGATGGGAATTGTGGAGGACTGCCCACTGCTTTTTGTGCTTGTCAATCTCTTTTTCATTGTGAACCCAATAACAAGGACTTCTGTTTTTTATTCTTGTTCTTCACCTAATGCACCTAATAAGTGATGGTGATGAATTTGGTATATTTCTTTCTTTCCAGGTACTCATAGTCATGCAAGCAGCACCTTGTCTTCAGAGCTGCATCACATTTTTATTATTGTTCTATATGTCATCATCATAGTTAATACCTGGTAGCAGACTTATCTGCTGTGAATTTATTTCATAACATTTCAGGGCCTATTTAGATAGACCCCCTTTTGTCTGTCTTTTACTCAACCTACTATTAATTAATATTATAATGCGGCCATGTGTTTCTACTTCTAAATTGGTACAAGTCTATGTACAATTGTCCTCTAATGTTTACATATGTTGTTTTAATGTTGTTTGAAATCGTTGTTTAATTGTTTTTAATTGTTGTTGTTTGGGCATGGAATAATGCCACTCATGTAAGCCACGTAGTAGAGATGAATAATGTGTCATCCTCTATCGGGGTGAGAAGGATGGGATATAAATGTTGTAAATAAATAAATAAACAAAAATAAGTCTATCATATCCTCGTAACATTTTTTCTAAATGAGAAGAGTGCCTAAAGTATTGCGTCACAGTTCAGTTTATCTAGCCCATTTCTCACTTGAGCTGCCTCTCACTATAGATTTACAAAATGGCTTGTTTTAAGTTTCACTAATGCCAAGAGCTTAATTTGCTTTTTAAAAAAAATGTTATAGTAACCTCTTGCTGCACAATTAACACATCACCATTACTGAAGAGATTTTATTTTGCTATTTCTTTTCTGCTACAGAGATCTTAAAAATGCATTTTCTTTTGATTTCCCAGAGGCATCTTTGGAACTTCATATTATTCCCTAACCTATAAAGTTGGTGAATAAGAGTTGCTGGGCTGCATTCCACTTCAGTCCTAGCCAGCATAGCCAGTGGTGAAGATTATAAGAGTTGTAGTCCAATGCAAGATAGAGGATTACACATTCCTCATCTCTACTATGTGGCTCTTAATGAGACATGCTGCATTATCACAGGATGTCTATGCCTCACTGGAGAAATTATACTGTTTAGCCAGTATTGCACCATCTGTAGGGAAGTAGCAGCCAGCGATGAAAGGACCAAGACATTGACATCTCCAGCTCATCCTCTGTTCGGATATCAGCCAGCATACCAACGCCTTAAATCATTAAATAGCTTTCTGAGATCTACAGAGATACTTGCAGGAACACCTCAGCAAGTGAGAGTCCAAAAGTGGCAGGCTAAAACCCGGAATCTCAACCAGTAGTTGATACCAGACGAGAAACTCCCCCCTGGGCACACAGAAGACTGGGTGACCTGGAAGGCTCTAAACAGACTGCACTCTGGCACCATGAGATGCAGAGCCAACCTTAAAAAACAGGGCTACAAAGTGGAGTCCACAACATGTGGGTGTGGAGAAGAACAAACCACAGACCACCTACTGCAGTGCAACCTGAGCCTTGCAAGATGCACAATGGAGGACCTTCTCACAGCGACATCAGAGGCACTCCAAGTGACCAATTTCTGGTGAAAGGAAATTTAGTACAGTGCCAAGTTTTTAACTTTGTTTGTGGTTTTTTTATATACATTATAACTGTATTCTCAATTTGCTTTTGACATGATAAATCAGTCTCTACTCTAGGGATATAAACATCAGCAACATTTTGCAGTGTAGCATTCCTTCCCTTCCTCCCTGTCTCAGCACAGTTCTTCATATTCTTATTTCTTTGCTCTAAGTTAGACAGCAGCTTTGCTCCAGTTTGTCTCCAAAAGTTGAACTCCTGTTAACCTCCCATTTCTTATGGAAATGTCCACAGAGTTATTGATAAGTTTGCTGCAGCTTTTAAAACAGTTTTAACACATTTGAATGACATCAACTATTACCAATCAGAATCTATTTCTTCAGATGCAGATGTGTCTGACAAAGTGGACTCTATTTTATGAAAGCCCGTGGCCCTACTTTGTAACCTTACAAAGTGCTATGAAACTTATTTTTTAATGAATCATATGTTTCCCATCAGATTCTTTTTAGGTGAGAGTTCTGTGGTATTTACAGCCATTCTCAATCCTGGTACGGCCAAACCACAGGACCTCTGTGATTAAACAGAAGCCACAAATATTAATGTGGCCTGGTCCCTATCATTTGACTATTGTTGTCCTGCACAACATTCTCATATGTGGCTCACTTCTAGTTCCTTTTCTTGCTCTCTTTCTCTCTCTAGTTCCAATTCTTCTTCCTTCCGCCGCTGGCGTATATCTTCAGCTTCGGCCCGTTCGTCTTCCTCAAAGAAATCTTTATCAAGGCGTTCCAGGCGTGGCAGCTGGACCAAAACTTCTATCCGGTAGTCCCCTTCTTCAGAACAAGGATTGTCTAGTAGGACCAGGGCTCGTAACATGGGAAGCACCAGCAACTTCGCCAGCTCTTGCATTTGACTAATTGCATTCCCCCTGCACCATGGGGAAGAGGGACAATTTTTATTTTAAACCTCCCCTTTTAGAAAATAAATAATTAAAAGAATTATAATATGAAAGGCCATGAACTAATGCCATAAAAACCCAATAAGTACATCTGCCCTGCTAAAGATCTTCCAGCAACGAAGTGGCTGACTATTAGGTGTCAAAAGTGCTCTTTTAGAGGCAATTCCACAATTCAAGGGGCTGCGGTGGTGCAGTGGTCAGCAAGTTCTGAGATGCAGAACTTGCTGACCAAAAGATCGGCGGTTCGAATTCACAGAGCAGGGTGAGCTCCTACTGTTAGCCCCGGCACCTGCCAACCTAGCAATTCGAAGGTATGCAAATGTTATTAGATCAGTAGGTACTGTTTCTGCAGGAAGGTAACAGCACTCCATTCTGTCATGCTGGCCATATGACCTCGGAGGCATCTACAGACAACACTGGCTCTTCAGCTTAGAAGTGGAGATGAGCACCATCCCCACAGCTGGACACAACTAGACTTAATGCCTGGGGAAACCTAAACCTTTACCTTTACTTTACCACAATTCATCATTAAAGGCCAAAGAAGCTCTCAGCAGTGCACAGGCATACTCATGATTTATTACTCCAAACCAGGGGTGTCAAACATATTTTCATTAACAGCCACATCAGCCTTATGGTGTAAGTGTGACTATGTTGCCCTGGCGTTGAAAGCCTTGTGGGTCACATAAAATGTTGTGGTGCATTTGACATATGTGCTCTAAACCTTTAACTCGAGAGTGGACAAGACCTCAAGATGTTGCTGAAATGCAACTTCCATCAGGCCTAGGCAGCATAGCCAATGGTGAAGAATTCTGGAAATTGGAATCCAGCAAGATCAAGAGTATACTTTGTTTTGAGTGTACACTTTTCACATTTAAGCTTTGAGTGCTCAAGTAGACTACAACTGCTCAGAGTATAAGAAACGCTTGAGATCCTACTATCCATTGTCATACAGATCTCCAGCTTTCTCCCTCTCTCTCTGGCCCCTTCTACACTGCCAAAGAATCCAGATTATCTGCTTTGAACTGGATTATCTGAGTATACTGCCATATAATCCAGTTCAAAGCAGATAATCTGGATTTTATATGGCAGTGTAGAAGGGGCCTCATGGAGCAAAGTCCAGTGCTCCATGATTACCGTCTAGGACTGTAGTCACAAACTCAACAAGAAGCTGCAGTTGGAGAAATTCCATTCTCTATTGTTTGGTCTACAGCTTAATATTACATTCTGTAAAAGAAAGAATACTTAATTTTATTTAATTTTTTATTACTATTTGGGTGCCCATGTTCTATCCTTGTCCTGGATACCCTCAGCAGGCCAACAGTAGCTACACTGGCATTCACTACAAGTCCTGAAAGCAATGTGCTAGGATCAAATGCAGATTTTTCTCCCCAAAGGAAGGTATTTGCAGTGAAGGCAGCAGAACATAGGCTTGGCACTCTTCCTTTGCTGATCCCTCACCTTTGAGGGAGATTCTAGGAACAACCCACCGTAGATTGAGATACTGAAGAGACTTCATGTCCTCTGAGAAACCATCCAGCGTTTCAAGCTGATTGTCACGTAGATGCAAGGTTGTGAGTTGCCCCAGTTCTGTCAGGCCCTCTAGCTGGGTAATGGAGTTTTGGGCCTAAGATGGGAGATGTTGCAGACTGAGAAACAGAAGACGGGGAGCACAAGACATCAATGTAGAAGTCAGCTGCACTTAAGTAAGAACTAAGAATCCTGGAAACCTTTTATAACTTATTAGACTTGAGGCATATCTCCCTTCCACAAAGCTACATTTGTTTTATACTACCTTAACTGCCACGGCTTCTCCCAACGAACCCTGTGATTTGCAGCTTAGCTGTGATACTGAAGACACTTTGTTAAGAGATTCTTAGCAAACAAACTGACTAAATTATAGTTCAGGTTTTGCAAGGGTGAGTTGGCATTCAGCATGTCTTAATGCTTATCTGTGTTGCACTCCAGAACAGGAAAAGCCCTCTGACTGTAAACACTACACCGTTGATTGGAAAACAATCCTTTTATTGAAGATAATTAAAAAGCAGCAAGTAAAAAACACTTTAAAGAAATAGGTAAATCCAATTAGGTAAGAAGATAAACAGGAGCAAAAAATAGTCCAAGGCAAAGTTCAGCAAAGTCCATAAAAATAAAATCCACACTTCTCAAATATAATTCAGAAAACCAGGAAACATTAATCTAAAGCATGAGTAGGCATTCATACAATCCAAGAATCCAAGAATCATGAAACCATGAAACAAGAAAAAATTAAAAAAGAATCTTCCCAGCAAGGCTTTCATGAAATAGGACGAGAACTACACTTGATTTCAAACGATGCTTCATCTGACTATATTTCCCATACTTGGAACTTTTACCTTGTTAAGTTATCCCAAGCACTCAGAAATTGGTTTAGCTTTAATTGAGATACCCTTATCTTTTTCTGTCGGATTCTGGCAGACCGCCCAAGGTACTGTTCGGCTTGTCTGTTTTGATTAATCTCCTGCCGTCTATCTATTTGCTCAGTAACTTCTGCAGGTGCAGAGTTGTTTTCAAGCCCCAAATCCTGGGAACCCTCTGGTAAGAATTCGGGGAGTACACCATCATCCCCAAAGCCTTCAGGGACATTCCCATGGGAAACTACACTTTGAACAGGGATCTCCTGGTCATTCTCTGCATTAATATCCTTGACCAAACCATTGCCATCTTGAAACTCATTGACATCACTCCCCACATCCAAAGCACCCTGATCCTGAAACACAATCACAGGCTGAGCTCCAGCACTCGGTCCCATTCTTGTACATGAATACATCCTTCTTTGTTATCTGGGCACATCTCTAACTAGGGTGTCAACTACATGACTGTATGATATCACTTTTCTCCCTCTCTTCCCATTTGTATGATTTTCACCATCTTTGCCTGGGGAAACGGGTCTATTTCAAAAGCTTGCACAATTAATCTAATGTCTTTTTGATTGACTTAATAATGATATTACTGTACTATGGACTTTAGAAATAGAAAGAGTTTCACTTACCCTCTCTTTCAAGGTTACCCAGGCTTCTCTATAATTGCTTATGGCTGATTCCAAATAATTAACATCAGGCCTAGATCGATCCACAGTCATAAGATTTTTTGAGAGCAGCTTCTCTTACCAGGTACAGATTTTTGAGTTTGGGTAGGTCGAGTCCGGTTGTAGATTTTAGGTTGTTGCCTCGCAACTCTACTGTGTGCAGATTCGACAATATTTCTGGATCCAGACCTGTTACATTCTCAATTTCATTACCTGGATATCATACGAACAGGCAATGATTAAAGGATTATCCTACCCAAATTCCCTTCCCCAAACAAATGACTTTCAGAGGAAAACTGAAAGATGTTAACCAACCTTTTAGGTTGAGGCTGGCCAAGCGTGGGTGGTTAATGCCATTGGTGTCTTTTATTTGGTTGTTCGCAAAGCTGGCACTCTGCAGATACGACAACTCATCCATGCCAGCACTGATAAGTTTATTGTTATCCACTTTCAGCCACAGCAAATGATTAAGACTTGACAATGGAGATAGGTCTCGAATCAGGTTGTCAGACAGGTCTACGTAACGTAAGTGGATGAAATTTTGGATGAGGGTGATATCTGTCACTTCCCTGTCATAGGACCAAGTTGGAAAATGGTATTATTCAGCAGTACTAGCTTTCTGATGCTACTCTTCAACAGTTTTTCCTTTCTAAGAAGGTGCATGAAGGAAGCATATTTGTTTCCAGCCACTGAAATTTTCAAAGGGCAATAAATAAATAAATACCCTATATACTCAAGTATAAGCCGCCTCAAATATAAGCCCAGACCCCTAATTCTACCACAAAAACCTCAAAAAAAAACTTATTATACTTGAGTATAAGCTAAGGGTGGGAAATGCAGCAGCTGCTGGTAAATAAAATAAAATAAAAATAGATACCAATAAAATTACACTAATTGAGGCATCAGTAGGTTAAATGTTTTTGAATATTTATCATATTTCAAAGAAAAACAGTAAACTAGCTCTGTAAGTGGAAAAGTAGGGTCAACAGAAAAAATATGGTATCAACAATAACTTAATAATAATAATAATAATAATAATAATAATAATAAACTTTGTATCCTGTGCTATCTCCCCATGGGGACTCAGGCTGGCTTCCAGCATAGTAACAGGCAAACATTCACTGCCTATATAAACAATGCAGAGCTAGATATAGATCTATAATGATACATACTAATTTCACATATGCATTCCTCCCTGGAATGTTTGCAAATCCTGTCTCTCTGTATGTGCATTTCCCCCCTGCAATATTTGCAAGCCCTATATATATCTATGTTTATATCTATCTAGATCTCTCTCTATATATATATGTGTGTGTGTATGTGTGCATTTCCCTCCTGCAATATATATCTATCTAGACATGTCTATATATATTTGAGTGTGCATTTTCCCCATAACATTTGCAAGCCCTATATATCTATACTCATATATATCTATCTAGACATATCTCTCTGTATAGATAATTATATCTACATAGGATTTGCAAAGACTTGCAAACATGTGAGGGGAAAATTCATATATAAAATTATTTTTATATATACACATATACATGCACACACATATACAAATATATAGGTACCTCTACATATTTATCGATATCTATATCTATATAGGATTTACAGAAACTTGCAAACATTTGAGAGGAAAATTCATATATAAAATAATGTATACATATAGATACAGATATACAGGTACATGGAAATCTCTACATATCTATATGCATATAGGATTTGCAAAGGCTTGCAAACATATGAGGGAAAAATCATATATATAATTAATATATATAAATAGATACAGATATATAGGTACATAGGGATTGCAAAGGCTTGCAGGGAGAAATACCTATATATCAGTAAGAGAGATTAACAAATATTTCAGGGGGAAATGCTTTATAAGATTAATTGATATTCCTAACTTGCAAAGGCCTATCTCCGCCTCCTTTCCATGTTAAAAACAATCCAGCCGGGGAGGAGAAGCAGAGCAGAAGCAGAAAAGGAAACACACTGTTTAGGGAGAGGAAAATGAGAGAGAAAATATATCATATATCACAAGCAATGACCTCCAGGCTCGGCTTCCCAGCTTGACTCTATTATAAGCCGAGAGAGGCTTTTTCAGCCCTTAAAAAGGTCTGAAAAACTTGGTAAATAAAAGTGGATAGAAGATGTGCATTAGTAATATTTTGCAAACTTACTTTTCTCTGACCTCTAATTTTACAAAAGCATGAGCCAGGCCATTGCCCGTTTTACATAAAAGCGAGAGGCCCTCTTTCATCATATCCTCCGTGAGAGGAGTGGAAACTGGGTGCTGAGGGAAGAAACACACACATAAAAAAGAAAATAGTAAAGCTATCAAAGATGGCCCTGTTGTCACTGAAATGGGGGACAGGATAGTCACTCTCCCACCATAAAGTTCTCATTGCCTTCCTAACAACTATAGTGTACTCCAAATAGGGTGAGAGTGTAAAGAGGGTCACGGTGGGATGGGAGACAGGCCAAGCAACTGAATTTGAGGACTTTACTGTCACCCCAAATTTGATTGAAAACTTAAAGGGGGAGATCACTGGTTTGCAATCTGACAATAACAAACGAAGCTAGAACCCATTAGCCTTTCCAAAGATGCTGTGAAACCAACTCCCTCTCACACACATGTGGTGCTTTATCCCAACATGATTTAACCTCTCTATATTCTGCTCTTCCCTCTTCCCAGTTGTTTCTTCTGCTTCTTATTTATTTTTAGATGCTTAGATTGTAAGCTGCTTTAGAGAAGGAGCTTGTTTATCTTTTGTAAATTACCCAGTGTGCAAACCATGCAGCTACAACTAAGCCCTTTTAAGTCCTACTGATTTTAGTGGGGAGAGAGGAAGCATGTGCTTATATTTCCCTATGATCCTAATAGAACCTAAAAAGCCCTAACTAAAAGGGCACAAAGTTTCAAGCTTAATAAAACACTAAATATTAATTCTTTACCTCTTCTTCTTCCTCTTCTTCCTCCCCAGCCTCCTTCTCATCTTCCTCCTCCTCTTCATTTTCTGCTTTATCTTCAGTGTCTTCTTGCTCTTCTTCAATATCGTTATCATCTTCAGGCTCCTCATCTGACATATTCACAGGCTGGTACTTTCAGACTAAAAATACTGAAGACGTTGAGGTGATTTTAGCAATTTGCCAGGCAAAGTGGAACTCCCCCCAGGACCAACTGCCACTCTGGGCCAGAATGAAGGGGTGGGCAGGGGACAGTTCCACCTTGTCCCCTGCATGTCTTCAGCTGGGGACCCCTATTCCCAGCACCAACTGCCACTCTGGGCCAGAATGAAGGGGGGGGGGGGGCAGGGGACAGTTCCACCTTGTCTCCTGCATATGTCATCAGCTGGGAATCCCTCCTCCAGCACCAACTGCGTCTGGGCCAGAGTGAAGGGGGGGGGGAGAGAGGGGGCAGGGGCAGTTCCATCCTTGTCTCCTGGATATGTCATCAAGTTGGGGAGCCCTCCCCCAGCACCAACTGCTGATCTGGGCCAGAGTGAAGGGGGAGGGCAGGAGATAGTTCCATCTTGTCTCCTGCATATGTCATCAGTTGGGGACCCCTCCCCCCAGCACCAACTACCATTCTGGGCCAGAGTGAAGAGGGGGGGGGCAGGGGACAGTTCCACCTTGTTTTCTGCATATGTTATCAGATGAGGACCCATCCCCCGAGCACCAACTGCCGCTCTGGGCCAGAATGAAGAGAGGGAGGTTAGGGGACAGTTCCATCTTGTCTCCTGCATATGTCATCAGTTGGGTACGCCTCCCCCCAGCACCAACTGCCGCTCTGGGCCAGAGTGAAGAGAAAAGGGTCCAGGGGACAGTTCCACCTTGTCTCCTGTGCTATGCTAGTAATATAACATAGTCATATAATATATTGTATATACATATAATATTTATATTATAACATAATGCTATATGATGCTACTAATAATAAGATATTATAATTATATATTGATATTACATGTAATATTATTAATAATATTACAATATAATGGTATAGTACAATATAGTAATATTTTATACTGATGTTGTGCTATGCTAATAACATAATATATTGTATGTATGTATATCTTGTAAGCTGCTCTGCGTCCCCTTCGAGGTGAGAAGAGCGGCATATAAATGTCGTAAATAAATTTGATCCTGTTTTAATGTTTGCATTTGTGTATTTTGTATCTTCTGAGTTGTTATATTGATGTTTTTATGTCAAGCCGCTTTGAGTCTCCTGTGGGGGAGACAAAGTGGCGTACAAATAAATATAATAATAATAATATTGTTCGTAACATGGGGACTGCCTGCCTTGTTGTGGAAGGTGGACTCACTGTAGAAAGCCGATTAGAAAAAAAAAAACCACATTTGAAATGTGGAGCATTGTTCTATGGCTACTGTGCATTGCTGAAAAGACCACTGGATGGAGCAAAACCAGGTCTGGGCAAACTTAGGCCCTCTAGGTGTTTTGGACTTCAACTCCCAGCATTCCTAACAGCCTCAGGCCCCTTCCTTTTCCCCCTCAGCCACTTAAGCGGCTGAGGGGGAAAAGGAAAGGGCCTGAGGCTGTTAGGAATGGTGGGAGTTGAAGTCCAAACATCTGGAGGGCCCAGGTTTGCACAGGCCTGAGCAAAACCAAGCCTGGGTTCTCCTTAGAAGCCCGGATGACTGTATTGACGTTTTGGCTGCATCAGAAGAAGAGATGACTCACTGGAAAAGGCAACGATGGCTGCCAAAATGGAAGAAGGCAGAAGGAACAGAGGGAAGCCGCCTTTGGACCTTTAATGGCTGTACACCAGGCCTCGGGCGACGTTATGCGAAGCCGAGGAAGGGCGAGAAAGCAGCTGCCTGTTGCCTCACTCGACCTCCGGAGGCGACTGAAGCGTCTGTTTGGGCCGTTATCACCCGGGCAACCACAAAATGATTGACAACCCCTGCCATGAGGGGCAGGAGAGGAGGCTGGAAGGTGATTGGACGAGAGAGAGGCTTGATTTGCATACAGCAGCCTCGTGAAGCCCCTGTTTGGGCGAGGGCGGGGCCGGAAGTTGGTGGGAAGGAGGGGTTTGATTTGTAGGCCCCGGAAGTCGTGCTCATTGAGAGTTCAGGGTTGCCCAAACTTTGATCTTCGAGGCAAAGACTCTATCTACACTACCATACGTAAAGGTTTTCCCCTCTGACTCTGGGGGTTGGTGCTCATCTCCATTTCTAAGCCAAAGAGCCGGCGTTGTCCGTAGACACCTCCAAAATCATGTGGCCAGCATGACTGCAGGGAGTGCCATTATGTATGCACATATACATATTTATATACTTATATTTATATGTATATTTTATATAAATAATATATATTAAATATATTTATATTTATATGTATATTTATATATTTATATGTACATTTATATGTCAGTGGTAGTCCCTCGGCTATGGAACGCCCTTCCTAGGGAGATTAGATTGGCTTCCTCACTCCTATCATTCCGGAAGAATCTTAAGACATGGCTATTTGAGCGGGCATTTGAAAATACGGAGTAACGGATATAATAATGGAATAACTATATGGCGGAACTGGACATTGTTTTAATGATTATCGATTGAAGTATGTTTCATTATAATGTTTGATTTTATTGTTGCTGATGTTTTTATATTGTATATTGTAATTGTGTCCTTGGTGGCATTGAATTCTTGCCTTGTAAACCGCCTCGAGTCGCCGGAAGGCTGAGAGGGGCGGTATAGAAATGTACTAAATAAATTATTATGGCCAATAACCAGTGCTATTGACTATTCCAAAGCCTCTGACTGTGTGGATTACAATAATTTGTTGCAAGTTCATGGTAGTATGGGGATACCCAGTCACCTTGATTGCCTCCTGAGGAATCTGCGTAACGGCCAACTAACAACAGTTAGAACAAGCCACGGAACAACAGACTGGGAAAAGGGTATGGCAGGGTTGTATACTCTCACCCTCCCTATTCACCTTGTATGCAGAACACATCATATAATGCTAATATTGTGCTTTTTTGTTGTGTCAGGAGCGACTTGAAAAACTGCAAGTCACTTCTGGTGTGAGAGAATTAGCCGTCTGCAAGGATGTTGCCCAGGGAATGCCCCGATGTTTTGGTGTTTTATCATCCTTGTGGGAGGCTTCTCTCATGTCCCCGCATGAGGAGCTGGAGCTGATAGAGGGAGCTCATCCGTGCTCTCCTAGGATTCGAACCTGTGACCTGTCGGTCTTCAGTCCTGCCGGCATGCGTTTAACCCACTGTGCCACTGGGGGCTCCAGTATTGTGCTATGCAAATAATATAATATATTGTATATACATATAATATTGATAATAATATTATAATGTAATACAGCATATTACATTATACAGTCTCGATAAAATAGTGAAGAGTAGAGACATCAGACTGGCAACAAAGATCCGCCTAGTCAAAGCCATGGTATTCCCTGTAGTAACCTACGGATGTGAGAGCTGGACCTTAGGGAAGGCTGAGCGAAGGAAGATGGATGCTTTTGAGCTGTGGTGCTGGAGGAAAGTGCTGAGAGTGCCTTGGACTGCGAGAAGATCCAACCAGTCCATCCTCCAGGAAATAAAGCCCGACTGCTCAATGGAGGGAAAGATACTAGAGACAAAGTTGAAGTACTTTGGCCACATCATGAGGAGACAGGAAAGCCTAGAGAAGACAATATGCTGGGGAAAGTGGAAGGCAAAAGGAAGAGGGGCCGACCAAGGGCAAGATGGATGGATGGCATCCTTGAAGTGACTTGAGGGAGCTGGGGGTGGTAACGGCCGACAGGGAGCTCTGGCGTGGGCTGGTCCATGAGGTCACGAAGAGTCGGAGATGACTGAACGAATGAACAACAACAACAACAATACAGTATATTACTAATAATAATGCAATATAATAATATCAATTATCTATATAAATAAAATGTAATGTTAGTTTGTAGGATTAACATAATTGAAAAACCACTAGACAAATTGACACAAAATTTTGACACCCTTAACAGACCAATGAGTGACCATCACTCATCAACCTCCCTCAAAAAACAGCGGAAAGGACTTAAAAACCAAAAAAAGCTAAACGACAATACAGTGTATATTTCCAATTTATCTATCTGGAGGATTTCTCAGCAATCCTCCAGGTAGATAAAATAGATACATTACATAGAGATAGGTAGGTAGGTAGATCGATCAATCAATCAATCAGGAGGACTGCTGGGAGTTGCAGTCCAAGAATAGGCAGAAAAGGAAGAAAGGGGAGAAAGAAAAAAGGGAACATATTGCATAATGTTTAAGGAGGCCACTTGCCTCCCTGCTTAGTCCTTCACTGCCTTATGGTTATACCTTTCCTGAATGACTATGTTTGCATTCAATGTGAATAACAGTTCTCTTTCTGGGTTGCTGTGAGTTTTCCAGGCTGTATGGCCATGTTCCAGAAGCATTTTCTCCTGACATTTCACCCACATCTATGGGAGGCATCCTCAGAGGTTGTGAGGTCTGTTGGTTGTGAAGTCTGTCTCTCTTTAGAAGACATCCAAAGAGCATCAGTAAGACAATAAGATTTTTCAAAACCTTAAATGTCCACACGAGGGAGCTTCAATATAGGCTCTGACAACTCTCCTTTTTTGCAGACAATATGGACTCCAGGCTACTTGCTTAGTCAGTCCGTATTGTGCTCTTTTTATAGATCAATACAAAATCCAAGGTGTGGATCAGGAGCCCCAGCAGGCTCAGACTTTGCAAATTCCAAGGTTGATTTGCCTACTTGAGTGTCATAGGTGATCCCTTGTAGCTGTTTTATGCTGCCCTGGAGACTAGGACATGGAACAATGACTTCAAACTAAAGGAAAGGAGATTCCACCTGAACATTAGCAAGAACTTCCTAATCGTGAGAGCTGTTCAGCAGTGGAATTCTCTGCCCTGGAATGTGGTGGAGACTTCGTTGTTGGAAGCTTCTAAACAGAGGCTGGCTGGCCATCTGTCGGGGGTGCTTTGAATGTGATTTTCTTTCTGCTTGGCAGGGGCTTGGACTAAATGGCCCATGAGATCTCTTCCAAATCTATGTGTCTAAAATAGAATTTCAGATCATATCTAATTGCTGATGGTGTGTGTATGTGTGTGTTGGACTGGATGTCCCACAAGATCTCTTCCAAATCTATGAATCTATGATTCAGTGATTATATGAATATGACTGTCTTCCAAGGATAGAGTCTTGGCAATGGATCTGTCAATGTCTTTCATGCTTGGTCTTTCATGTTAAAGGCATAGATTTCCAGATTGAAGGTGACAATAACATTATAGAGTTGGAAGAGACCACGTGGGCCATCCAGTCCAACTCCCTGCCATGCAGGAAAAGCACAACCAAAGCACCCCCAAAAGATGACCATCCAGCCTCTGTTTAAAAGCCTCCAAAGGAGCCTCTGCCACATTTAGAGGCCGTGAGTTCCACTGTTTAACAGTTCTTACAGTCAGGAAGTTCTTCCTAATGCTAAGGTACAAGCTTCTTTCCTGTAATTTCAACCCATGGCTCAATTAAGTCCTAGTCTCCAGGGCATCAGAAAACAAGCCTGTTCCCTCTTCTTTATGACATCCTTTCAAATATTTAAACATGGCAATCATGTCTCCTCTCAATCTTCTCTTCTGCAGGTTAAACATACACCGCTCTTTAGATGCTCCTCATAGGGATTCATGGTCTCCAGACCCTTTATCATTTTAGTCACCCTCCTCAACAAGGGTTTGCTAGATGTGCCATCCTCTTGCCACATTTCTCCCTTTCGCCCTCTATTTGTGCTTCTTCAAAATCCATGTAACATTACAGGGGAAACCAATAATGCAACTAGTCACAGAAGAATTCTTTCCTTGGAGGCACAGAGTAAGGCAGGAAGCTACTACACAGCAGCGGCAGGAAGCTTTGATTCACCCAGGCTGAGTAAGGCCACACCACAAATAGTCCTTGCTTCATAAAGCTAACTGAGCTTCTAGACAAGGCTTCTATTATGTAATCCTGCTGGGCGGGTGGAGGAAGACATTTTATTTCATTTGAAATTCATCTGTTCTTCCCCAGTTTTTCCTCATGTTTTATCACACAATATTTGTTGAGGGAGACTGAATTTATTTTTTGAGTAGCCTTTTCATTAATTTGCATGTACTTTGTCTAGCACATCTTCTTGTGTTTTAACCAGTTTATTAATCTGTATGCACTTGAGTATCTTCGATCATCGAGGTGCCTGGGTCTGTAATAAAGCTTGGGATTGTCAAAATTCAAGGATTCCCAGATGGACCAAACTTGCTAGGTGTTACATGGGGATCACAGTTCCAGGAGCAGGATGGATATCAAATTCTTGTTTACCGGTAATTTGGCTGTGTGGCTTTAATTTACATTGAATTCATATAATGGTTTGGTTTTAATTGTATCTGTTTGTACTCAATTTTAAACGTATTTTAATAAGCCATTTTACAATGTATTTCCATGCTTTAAATTATATCCTTTTGTATCACCCCAAAATGGCTTATATTTCCCAATATAGTTGTGCACACTTTTTCTATATGTAAGATGTATATAACCATTGCATTGACTTATGGTTTGTTGACTGTAATAAAGAAATAATTAAATGATTAGAGTAGTGCTGCTAGGTGTCTAGAATCACACATATTGTACTAGAAGCAATGAATAATAGAGACATAGGCAGAATTTCAATGGAGCTACTGATTTCTCTCCAGGATAGTATACTTTTTTTAAAGCCATGTGACCTGGTGTTGTTCAATTAAGGCTGATGTCAATACCAATATATTCTGAAGGTACAATCAGACCTATCACTCTACTGGATGCAATGGACATAGGACAGCACTCCTCAATCGTGGTTGTTGTCACAATCTTGTGGGCTTCTGGTTATTCAGTGTGCCAGGCAGAGTGGTGGATTAGATAGGTATTTGGGCTGATGCAACAGAATATCATTGTCAGGGGTTGTGGTGGCGCAGCAGGTTAAACTGCTGAGCTGCAGAACTTGCTGACCAAAAGGTTGGAGGTTTGAATCCAGAGTGGGATGAGCTCCTGTCATTACCCCCAGCTTCTGCCAACCTAGCAGTTTGAAAGCATGCAAATGTGAGTAGATCAATAAGCACCGCTTCAGTGGGAAAATAATGGTGCTCCATGCAGCCATGCCAGACATGTGGAGGTATCTACGGACAATGCCGGCTCTTCGGCTTAGAAATGGAGATGAGCACCCCCTCCCCCCCAGAGTTGGACTCGACTAAACTTAATATCAAAGGAAAACCTTTACCTTACTATTGTGTCACTTGAATTTTAAGCTGCCCCATTCTCCTTTAATCGTCCCACATTGCACATGTTTGTATTTCCAGGTTGAAGCATTATCTGTTTTCTAACTTATTTTCCATGTCAGCAAAGGGACTGTCTTGCAAAAGACCCATCTGATTACTTCCCCTAGTAGGATTTTTTAAAACTCCAGCCAATGCAATATAGCTTGGGATTGAACATTCATGAGCATGTACATCTGCAATAAGTATGTTGGGATGCTTACATTTAAAGATCTCGCCACCACAGGGCCAACAGGTTAAATTACTTCTGACATTACTTCTGGCATTTTGGATGTAAGTGTGCCCAGCATCTCCTTAAAATAGCACTGGCCTTACTGTGCTGGATGGTTTAAAGCATTTCAAGCATGAGGCTACAGCAAGGGTAGCAACCTAGTGATTTTACAAATATTTTTGAATGTTAAGTTCCAACATTTCTCATTACTGGTTATTCTGCCAAAGTATCACCTCTCTTCCCTGTCAAATTTAGGGGATACCTGCTTTCTTATTTCTTAATGTAAGATGAAGGAGGAGATGTGAAGATTATGGATGGATTTTATCTGTTAGTGACTCATGACTCCATTCCCCAAAGAGTGGTGATTAAATGGTTTTGTCCTAGGGGCAGCAGGATCAAGTAAAAATCTCCGGAAATCATGAGAGTCAAGGCAAAGTCCAGGAAATGAGGGAGGGAAAGTTGACACAAGTTTCTCTTTAGTATGCTGCATATATGCCCCCATTTTAGCACAACCTACAATCCTTGCAGGCAAAACTCATTGCAGTAGAGGCAGCTCGAGACCAGCATTTTCTTTCCGGGGAGGGAGATGGTAGAAGTATCTAATTTCTGCAATTTTCCTATGGATATTTCTAGGCTTTTGTGAAAGTATTGTGGTTGTTTTTCTCCCATGTTGCAGCAATAATTCTCTTACACATTGATTTCCCTTTGTTTATTTCCGTTCATTGTTGGCTTATGGAACATGAAACAGACATACAGCGTACAAACAACACAGGTCACTGAGCACTGGCTTTAAACTGGCTGAAAACAAGAATCAATATCCCTTCTTCAAAGGGGCAGGTGGGCCTACAACAACAACACAGACACTGGTTAGAAAACAACTTATGGGGATAAGAGCAAGAAATCCCACTCACAAATAGAAGGAAGTGGAAAAAGCTCTGACTAGACCAAGGCTCTAGACTAACCAATGCATGTCTTTGCAACCATTGTGTTCAGCAGCAGAATTGGACAAAGAACAGCAAGTGTACGGAAACAGGTTGGAGGTTGAGGCCACTGCTCTTGAATGTAGAGGCTGGGCATTTATTTTTACAGTATCTATCTCCACACCATGATGGCACTCCCCAGCTTTTGACTGTATGGTAGATTTCAGTGTTTTGCATTGATTATATCTATAAATTCAGGCTTGAGAGAGGCTCCACCAACAAGAAAGCCATCCAAATCAGGTTGAGAAGCCAGTTCTTTGGCAGTGGCACCAGTGACTGAGCCTGCAAAAGATAAAATGCAATCACAAAATGAGACGAAGAAAAACACAGCAGGTAAATACAAGAAAAAACAAGTTCTTCTGTTACAAGATCAGATTCTACAAGAACACACCAATGTCCTTGAAGTCAATGACCTTTCGGAAACTATGGGGTTTACAGTGCAATGCTAGACAAATATAATTGAAAGAAGTGTCTCCAGATGGTAAATGTATAGGATTGCATCTTTACCAATTATTAATTCAAGATGGATTAAAGATAAAGGTTTCCCTTGACTTTAAGTCTAGTTGTGTCCGACTCTGGAGGTGTGGTGCTCATCTCCATTTCTAAGTCGAAGAGCCGGTGTTGCCCATAGACACCTCCAAGGCCATGTGACCAGCCTAACTGCATGGAGCACCGTTACCTTCCCACAGAAGCGATACCTATTGATCTATTCATATTTGCATGGTTTTGAACTGCTAGGTTGACAGAAGCTGGGCCTAACAGCAGGAGCTCAACCTGTTCCCTGGATTCAAACTGCCGATCTTTAAGTCAGCAAGTTCAGTAGCTCAGTGGTTTAACCCACTGCATGACCAGGGCCCCCCAAGATGGATTAGGCCCATGGAATCACTGTAATTAAGTTGACCTAGAAAATGTGAATATAGGCCTCAAAATATAAAGCTGACTCAATTGATCTGCAACTATTTTGTAATTAAAAGGTCTTTCAAAAATAGCTCTCCCCTTCTTTTCACATTTTCCATACCTCGAGAGGAGGGGGCTATTTATCTGGCCAGGTTCCATAATCAGGCCCCACCTGAGCATTGCTAAAATACTAGAAACTGGATGTGCACCCAACAGACAAAGGTGAATCTTTCTTGACACATTTGCTTTTTGAATTGGAGAGAAGAGAGTCCATTTACCTCCATAGATTATTCGCGTTGATTGCGAAACAGCATCAGATACATGGCTCTTCAGCCAGCCTCGCAACTTCTCATGAACTTCCTGGGCCTGTGAGAATCCCAAGAATTATGTTAGTGCAACCGGTTAAGGATACTAGGTCCACTATAATGCATATGGTGCACTTCTGAAGTATTTCTCCCCACCTCCAGCATTTGCCTCACAAAAGGGAAGTGAGATTTAGAAACATTGCTTCCCTATACATCTCCCTACCTGTTGGGGTGTTGCAGTTTTGCCAGTTCCAATGGCCCAAACTGGCTCATAGGCAAGAACTACTTTGCTCCAATCCTTCACATTATCTAGGAAGAGAGGGAGGAGTGATTATTATTTAGGAGTACAGGCTCAATGCCAGTTACAGAGAAAGGTAAGCACATTTAAGTGGTCATTTAGGAGGATGTGCAGGACAATACTGAGAATCAATGAGCCTTTCAGGTCTTTAGTGTGGTGTTTATTTAGGTCTTTGTCAAGACTTACATTATAAATCCAAACAATGGAAGAACATTTATCCATTTTTGAAAAATATATGATTTTGCTAATCCTGGAGTTGTTTTTGTTAAATTTTGTGGGTATGGATGTATTATTGTTGTATTCAGGAATTGAAATGTTTGCCTTTTATGCTTGGAATCCACCTTGAGTCCCTTTGAGGAGACAGAACAGAATATAAAAAAGGTTTTTTAAAATTATTATTATTATTGGAGATCAATGTATGCAGAAGAATCTGCTTCACTTAAAATAGCTGACCCAAATGTTTATGGTTCCTGAATATGAGTTCATATGACAATTTGTCTGTAACTACATAATTAGTCCAATATTTCCAAATGCAATGACTGAATTGTGTAAGCACCAGTATCACTTACTTGGCTAAAGTTGACACATGGTGAAGTTCTTTTAGAAATTATGAGTTCTCTTATGTATTTCTCTTTGCTCTGCAAGATTTTTTAAAACATACCCAGGAATGGCAAAGTGCAGCAGAACGGTAAATAACAGCCTTCACTTTAGTATGAAATTAAGAAAACAACCTGTGGCATCTGCCAGAAAATAACCCAGTGCCCTCTTACCAGCAATAGCCTTGGTCTGTTCAAACACCACCTTCTCTGTGATGCCAGCCTCTCGCTCATCCAGTTTCTCCCCAATGCAGGCAATGACACCAAGACCCTCAGCCAAGGCGTGGGCCACCTTCTGCCCAATAAGCTGGGAACAGGTTAGAAAGAGAGCTATAACTACTATGCAAATTCAGTAGTTATGCCTGCAAAAAAATCTGTCTTCCACAGCCAGTAGTGAGAAAGGGAAACTCTTTAGCAGCAAATCATACAATAATGGAGTTAGATGGCCTACGTGCCATCAGGTCCTACCCTCTGCTAATGTGGGATTTCCAGCTAGATCAACACAATCCACCTACCTCATCTGACTCGCCAAAGACATGTCTTCTCTCAGAGTGTCCCAAGATCACCCAGGTAGCTCCAATATCCTTTATCATGGCAGGACTGGGGGGGAAATGCAGAGGAAAAGGTCACCAAAGTTAATGTGCTGTCTCAAACCATCACCAGACAGTCAACTTGGCCCTAAAGTCCCGGCAGACTCACCTGATTTCTCCTGTGAAAGCCCCCTTGGACACTTTGTAACAGTTCTGTGCAGCCACACCAAACTTGGCATCAAGCTTCTGGCGGGCAAAGTCAAGGTAGATGGTGGGAGCGCCGCAAACAACCTCTGTGGGGCAAAAGAAAAAAGCAAAGCTGGGATGAGGCAAACTCAGTGGATCGGTGAGTCAGATGCAGATGTTTCCCGCCCCAACCTCAATTCTCTTCTCATTTGTTGCACATGAGGCTTGTGGCCGTATTTCTTGCGTAACCATCATGCTCACAGTAGGCAAAGAAAATCTCATCCCTTACATCCATACGGCATGATAGTGAAAAGTACCAATCCACCTGGCACAATGGTACTTTGTAGAAATATTCAGGCAAATATGGGGAACAAGTTTTTCCCCCTCTGTGAAGCCCACATTCTCTGTTGGCAATTTATTGGAGGCCACAGCCAATGACAGTGGTGAGCAGCACCATCCCTTTTATTCTCAGCCCATGACTCCTCTCTTACTCCCTTGCTTAGCAGGCTGCCAATACTGTTGGCAGATTGTTCTTGCTAAACTAATTGTTTGTACAGCAATTTTGAAATTAGGTTAAGGTTCATTCAGGCTGTCCACCTCTGAGTTAAAAGTCACTAATGTCAGCTAATTGTATTTCACTAGGTTATGAAAGGGATTAAATGACCCATTGTGAACATATTTTGGGTACTGATAAAAAATCCTCCCAAAAAACGGTTCTAAAATGTTCTGAAATATTGATATAATTTTTCCTGATGCTCCACTGCTTTTCCATCTTTTGAACAAAAGATGACATTTCCCATCAAAGCGGTTTCAGTCAGAATAGTCAGATCTATACAAATACGATTTGTGTATGTTCATATTCATTCCAGTCCAATTTGAGGAAACGTACTTACAAAGCCTGACCAACCAATAGGTGGTATGACTTCTCTAGTTAAAGATGTCAAACTTAAATCCTACCTATCTGATAAGCTCATGCCATCTTATAGTATTTCAATACTACTTTCTCCTTGACTTTACACTGCATTAGAAGCGTTCTCCATACCTTTCCTTTCCTAATTTGGATGCTCTATCTCCCCCTCAACACCCGTTATTTGTCTAGTCACTGAAGTGTCCTCAGAAGCTGAAAGATGGTTGTGACAAAAAAAAAAAAACCCCCAGAAGAATCAGAGACTGGAAGAAATAAACTGTCTTAATTTCCAAAAAGGAAATTACATGTGTACATGTGTTTGAATGACAAGCTGTGGACAACTGTGATTGGTACTTAGTGGGAAATCCTTAATGGCACTGCCTCAGGGCCTGGGATGACCCTGAAGCGTCCACCCTGCCTAGCTGTGATTGCGTGTGTCCCAGAGGATCAAGTGAGAGTGTCTTTGCCTGTCCCTGGCTGAGCTTTTGAGATCTCAAAACTGGATGAGTGGTTGTTGGAAAGCAAGAGACAGAAAGAGTTATGCCTGAAAACACAATGGCCACTTGGCCCATAAAGGGCTGCTTCCCCCAGCAGCCAGGCCTCTCATACTCACTAAGAGGTCACAGCTCTCCTTTCCCAATTAATCCTAAGAAAAAAAGACCAGAACGATTACTAGCAATTTTTTTAGCATGAGCATCTGTGGATTATAATCCATTTACTCATGGGAAGGATTGGATTCACTAAAATCTTAAACCTGCTTTACCCATTCCTCTACCTTTGGTGTCATCTTAATCTCCCTTCACAACTCCACCCCTTGTCCTAAGCCACTGACCTTGCAGTAGGCCTCACTCATGCTGGCCTAATTCAGACAGACTGATTGGCTGCTGTTTGCATTGGAAAGGGACCTCATCCCTCCCTCTGCTGTTTGAAGAACTATGCAAGCTGAGACTGTGGCTGTGTAGGCACAGCATCTGAAATAGCACGGGTCCCAAAAATGGAAATTGAGCCTGTTTTCCTCGATAATGCACATATGTATTGTGTTTATCCAGGAAGGTCTGCTTTTTGCGTAACATCTTTTTTGAGAAGGGTATAAAATTAAATATTGGAAAACTTCCTAGAAGAATGCTCTGTAGCCATATTACTCTTAATAAGTAAGACAGATAAATTGTTTTTGTGGATGGAAATGGAGAGCTTGCTTAAAATGAAAGACGGAGGAGGAAAAAGCAGCCAGGAGCTATGAATTCCATTGACTATAAAATAGCCTTTACCTTTTTAATAGGTTACAGTCCACCCCACCAGGATTATTATTTTTTTAATAAAATACCAGTCTTTCGAAAATACTACATTTATTCTATTCCAGGATGTCGAATGTAAAATGCATAGATTTCAGTACCACCAACAGAGTGTGTGTATGTGCGCACACACAAAGCAATTAGATATGAGATGAAATTCTATTTTTAGAATCATAGAGTTGGAAGACACCTGGTGGGCCATCCATTTCCAGTCAAGAAGCAGGAAAATCGTATTCAGAGGACCCTTGAAAGATGGCCATCCATCTCTGTTTAAAAGCCTCCAAAGATGGAGCCTCCACCACACTCCAGGGCAGAGAGTTCAACTGCTGAACAGCTCTCACAGTTAGGAAATTCTTCCTAATGTTCAGATGGAATTTCCTTTCCTGTAGTTTGAAGCCATTGTTCCACATCCCAGTCTCCAGGGCAACAGAAAACAAGCCTGCACCCTCCTCGCTATAACTTTATATTTATATGGAGAAAAAGTGTTTCTAAGAATTGATGAAACACTGTAGGAATGGGGATACAACCATTTCTGATCTTGTCACTCTCTCTGCCTGTGGTCTTGGGAATATCACATAGTCTGTGTGACCTCTGAATAGTCCTAAGGCCAGAAAATTGGACTCTGCACCTACTGTGGCTGCCCGCCCTGAGCTAGATAAAGAGAAACTGATTTTACATGCCACAAAGCATTTGCTTCCTATGTCACTGATTCAAATGTCTACCAGATTTTTTTCCCTGCCAGTTCTAGCTTGCACCAACTGCTAGATTCATAGGTGTGGCCACCCTCACCATGCATGGACTTGTTTGCTGCTTAGAATAATGTTGGTCATGAAACAGATTGGAACTCCTGCTAGTTATTGTTACCCCCAGACTGGATAAAAGCCAGCATGGTCCACTCATGTGCTTGAAGGGGGTATTCTGCTTTACTTATCTGAGGTTGCAGATAGTAATTATCTGCTGGTGCCAGCATGGATTTTTGTTTGTTGTATTTCACAGATAAAGCTTAAATGTTTTTGGAAAGATGCAGGTGTGATTACATCTAAGATCTTCTGGGGAGGCCCTGCTCTCTATCCCGCCTGCTTCACAGGTGCGGCTGGCGGGGACGAGAGACAGGGCCTTTTCTGTGGTGGCCCCCCGGCTGTGGAACGCCTTTCCTATGGAGGTAAGATCAGCCCCCTCGCTAATGGTGTTCCGAAGAAGATTAAAAACTTGGATGTTTGAACGGGCATTCAGTTAAACAGTGCAATGAATGTGATGATTACAGGAATGGAAATTTGGACGACGGATTGGATCACGACTCTAGTTATGAGATGCATTGTGTTGTCTATTGTTGTGTCAGTATTGTATATTATGCTTTTATGGTTTTAAATTGTATATCGTTGATTGATTCTTATCCTTGTTGTAAACCGCGTTGAGTCGCCTGTTGGACTGAGAAACTGATAGTGTGGCAGAGCCGGCTGATGGATAAAATTTTATGCTGCAAAATAGGGGAAGAATTCATTTTTCCACTCAAAAATCATTCTGAGAGCTTCATGTGTGTATTAGACAGGGCCTCTTTAAGAAATGAGCAGAACAACCACTCCATCCAAACCTCCAACCTATTAACCAATTCAGGTTCATTCAAGATCTGCTCTCGGTTCTTACCATGTATTTAGTCATCCAAACAGTTCCCAATAATTCTGTGGGCAGCTAAAGAAAGGTAATTGTCCTATTGCTCACAACTAGAGGGTAGCTACAAAGATCCTTGTTTCCCCACTAACCAGAAAAAGTACAAGTAGCATTCTGGATAGACATAGGAAGTTCACTGCTGCTTGACAGGGCCTTGATTGACATTCGAGTCCTAAAGCAACATCTGCCTGTGCCTCATTTGGGGAAGATCCTGCAAATATGCTGGAATGCAATATGGTTAGCAATACGGCCTGTACTGGGCTAGAGGAATTCATGGTTTACAGCTTTCTATGTGGACACTTTAGGCAACCATAACAGAGAGAAACTATGGGTGCTTCCACACAGTAATATAACCCAGAATATCAAGGCAGAAATCCCACAATATCTGCTTTGATCTGGGTGATCTGAGTCCACACTGCCATATATTCCAGTTCAAAGCAGAAATGTGGGATTTTTTTCAGCTGTTTGGAAAGGGCCTACGTGATAATTGGCATGAGGAGCATCAACTTGAAAGCTGTGCCAATGGGGTCAGACTGCAGATATCTGTCAAGGCCACCCTTAGAATTTTTTTTTCAATGCTAAAGCTTTTTCTGAAATGGGGCAGCCCACAGCATTATTCTGAACGAGTTACATCAATACGTTACATCTTGTTTGGCAAATAATGAGGAAAAGAGCAGTCAGCATCTCCTTGTGATCCTGCAGTTTCATTCATTCCAGTGAAAGCATGATTTTCAGAAAACAGGTAATGCAATTGCTAAAGCCTACTTCCTCCTCTTCTTCAACCAAGAAGCATAAAAGACAGATAAGGAGAATAGCTGGGCCCATAAAATCAATGCCCCCCTCCCTCTGCTTGTGCCTGTCTCCTGACCTTTAGCAGGCTGGAAGGATACAGTTTCCAACTCTTAAGTACAGTATTTTTAGGCAGCTCCATTGCCACCTATATTTAGGATCCCCTTTCCTCCAGACCCTTTGACATTTCTTCAGGACAGCCCGGTTTGAGCCCACCTTGCCCTTTCTGAAGTAACAGCAACACTGTCTGCCAAGTGAACCTCAGGCTCTGGCAGACCTTTCCTCCTTCCCCACTAATATTGACCCTGGCAGAGTTGTGTCACCCGAGAACTTAGGAGACAGGACCCCTTCTTGGGGAAGAGAGCAAGAGACCATTTACACACAAAGAAAACGGTTGGGCATAAGCAATTTCCCCTTTTTAGAAGTGCTCTTGCTAACAAAATATCTGAGAGAATACTGTGGGTTATTGTCAGATCACTTTGCCTGGCAATCCACAAACTGCAGCATCTCTGCCTGCCCCTGAAGTCGGCAAAAAGAAGTGTCCCCAAACACAGAGGTTGCCATTGTGTGGACAGTGCGGCCACTACCAACAGCCTGTCATCCACCAGAATGCAATGAGAAGGAAGAGGGAGATGACCTGGATATGTTGCTTGACATTTCAATCTTTCTGACGAAAATAGACAAGTCTCTTGCGGCCCTTCCGCACAGCCATATAACCCAGAATATCAAGGCAGATAATTCACAATATCTGCTTTGAACTAGGTTATCTGAGTCCACACAGCCATATATTCCAGCTCAAAGCATAATATGTGGGATTTTATTCAGCTATGTGGAAGGGGCCCTGGACAGGGTTAGGAAGGTCAGCTAAATAAGAGCCTCCTGGAGAACTGCTTTCATATAAGAACAGAAGCCTCTGTGGCAGGTTCTCTATCCGCCTTCCCAGTTCTTCTTACCCTGCTCTGTCCATAGTTATTGCAGTTAGACACTGGGCCTGATCCAGTCCATTAGCCAGCAACGTCACAGAAATTTCAAGCATCTCAACACATAACATATATACGTATGTAAGCTGAGGGCAGGTTTGGGGAGCCACCATTATGGCTTTTGCTGTCACCTGTGGACAAGTTGGGAGCCATTCTGTGGAGAGGGTGCCAGCACTGCCATTTTCCTGCTCTTTCAAAAAGGCCTTTGGCCCCTCTATTCAGAGAAGCGGGTGATTCCTTTTTTATTTTTGCTAAGTTAAGGCATGGTATTCTTATCAAAAGAAGAAGGAAAAGGGACCATTCTCTTCTTACTCAGAGAAAGACAAGAACTAAGTTTGTCCCAAGAGAACCTAAAGGAAGCGCCATGGAGCTTTAGCTATCATTTTCTTGCCCAAAGGCCTTAAAGGCTGCAGCAGTAGAGGATTGGTGTATGACTCCCCGCTTTTATGAGACTTATGTTGAGTAATTGCGGACACAATGACCATGCCCTTGAGGAGTGTCTCAAAGAACTGGGTATGTTTAGCCTGCAGAAGAGAAGGTTGTGAGAAGACACGATAGCCATGTATAAATATTTGAAAGAATGTCATAAGGAGAGGAAGCAGGCTTATATTCTGCTGCTTTGGAAGCTAGAACTTGGAGCAATGGCTTCAAACTACAGGAAAGGAGATTCCACCTGAACATTAGGAAGAACTTCCTGACTGTAAGAGCTGGTCAAAAGAGGACTTCTCTGCCTCAGAGTGTGGCGGAAGCTCCTTCCTTGGAAACTTTTAAACAGAGGCTGGATGGCCATCTGTCAGGGATACTTTGATTGTGCTTTTATTGCATGGCAAGGGTTGGACTAGATGACCCATGTAAGATTCTTATGACTCAGATTTTTGGGTGGAATTTTTGAGAATCGTTTCTACATTGCTAGCATTCCTCCCTGTTGGCAATGCGAGCTATCAATCGAACTTTATTTATATCCCATCCCATCCCCCCATGGGACCTCAGGGCAGCTTACAACGTGAAGACAGTCATTTGATGCCTCAAAAATAATAAATAAATAAACCATATAAGCATTCTATCAGAAAACAAATCATAATAAAAACCAATAAAACACTTTCCACAACAATAATAAAACTCTAGGCAGTTAAAAAGCCATATCCAGAATTAAAAGCTAGGGATGATGGGACTCCACAGTGGCATAATAACATCTGGAGCGCTGCATAAGCCCTATCACTGCAGTAGAAGTGTTTCTTAAACTGTGCTGCCCCAGATATTTTGGACTTCAGCTCCCACAATTCCTAATAGTTGGGTTCTGGGAGCTGAAGTCCAAAACACCCAGAGGAGCAGAGTGTGAGAATCACTGCATACCACAAAAAAGTAAAGGCTGTAGTAAAGGCTAGATCAGGGATGGGCAAACCTGGGCCCTCCAGGTATTTTGGACTCCAACTCCCACAATTCCTAACAGCCTGCTGGCTGTTAGGAATTGTGGGAGTTGAAGTTCAAAACACCTGGAGGGCTGAGATTTGCTCATGCCTGGGATAGATCCAACATTCAAAAGAGTAGACCCAACGGGACACCAACGGCTCATGAAACACAACTGAACTAAAAAAGTATTGATTCCAATGGGCAAGATTAATGTGGGGATTAAGGTAAAATGAAGAACATATTCATGTGCTGAAAAAGAATATTTTAAACTCACTTCTTTTATTTATTTATGACATTTATATGCCGCCCTTCTCACCCTGAAGGGGACTCAGAGCGGCTTACAATATATATATATATATATATATACACACACACACACACACACACACACACACACACAAACATATACATACAATATATTATATTATTAGAATAGTACAATATCAGTATTATATATTACGATATTGCACTATACCATTATATTGTAATATAATTACAATCTTAATGAGACATGCCGCATTATCATGGGGTGTCTGCGCCCTACACCATTGGAGAAATTACACTGTTTAGCCAGTATTGCACCACCTGACATCCGCCGGGAAGTAGCAGCCAATAGTGAAAGGACTAAGGCAGTGACATCTCCAGCTCATCCCCTGTTTGGGTATCAGCCAGCACGACAATGACTTAAATCAAGACATAGTTTTCTAAGATCTACAGAGACACTCGCTGGAACCTCAGCAAGCAAGAGTCCAAAAGTGGCAGGCTCAAACCCAGAACCTCAACCAATGGCTGATACCAAATGAAAGACTCCCCCCTGGGCACACAGAAGACTGGGCGACTTGGAAGGCGCTGAACAGACTGCGCTCTGGCACCACGAGATGCAGAGCCAACCTTAAGAAATGGGGCTACAAAGTGGAATCCACGACATGCAAGTGTGGAGAAGAACAAACCACTGACCACCTGCTGCAATGCAACCTGTGACCTGCCACATGCACAATGGAGGACCTTCTTGCAGCAACACCAGAGGCACTCCAAGTGGCCAGATACTGGTCAAAGGACATTTAGTCAACTACCAAGCTTGCAAATTTTGTGTTTTGTATGTATGTTTGTTTTGTTCTGTTAGAAATGTAATACAATCGTCTGGTTGCCCCTGACACAATAAATAAATGAATTGTAATATTATTAGTCATATTACATGTAATATAAAGAACATATTCATGTGCTGAAAAAGAGTGTTTTTAACCCACTCTTATTTATATGCCACCCTTCTCACCTCGAAGGGGACTCAGAGCAAATTAGAAGATATATATATACACACACACACCCACACACATACATAAATATGCAATATATTATATTATTAGCATAGTACAATATCAGTATTATATATTACTACATTGTATTATAATAATAAACTTTATTTATACTCCACCACCATCTCCCATATTGTTATATTAGTAATATTACATGTAACACAAAATATATAATTATATCATATTATTATTAGTATTATATTGTATTACATTATAATATTATATTGTACTAGCCATCCCCTGCCATGCGTTGCTGTGTCCCACATGGGGATTCTGTGTGGGAGGTTTGGCCCAATTCTATCATTGCTAGGGTTCAGAATGCTCTGTGATTGTAGGTGAACTATAAATCCCAGCAACTACAACTCCCAAATGTCAAGATTCTATTTTCCCCAAACTCCACCAGTGTTCACATTTGGGCATATTGAGTAATCTTGTAGTTTGGTCCACATCCATCATTGTTTGAGTCCAACGTGATCTCTGGGTGTAGGTGAACTACAACTCCAAAACCAAAGGACACTACCCACCAAACCCTTCCATTATTTCCTGTTGGTCATGGGAGAACTGTGTGCCAAGTTGGGTTCAATTCCATCGTTGGTGGGGTTCAGAATGTTCTTTGATTGTAGGTGAACTATAAATCCCAGCAACTACAACTTCCAAATGCCAAAATCAAAAAAATTTGAGTGAAGGCTATACATTGGGTTGTTAGGTGCATACTGTCCAAATTTGGTGTCAATTCGCCCACTGGTTTTTGAGTTCTGTTAATCCCACAAACAAACATTGCATTTTTATTTATATAGATTACATTATATTATTATTATATTATTATACTATAAACTTCTTTTAAATGCATTCAAGGGAAAAAAAACTGCTCATGAAAGGGAAAAGGTGTCTACTCCACACTAGTGAAATGCATGTAGAAAATATAGGCCAAAGTAAACCACCGGCTTCCAATGCCTTTGCAAAGGGCGCTGCGGTGGATGGGGAGCCTCCGCGCGCGGGGCTACGTGCAGCAGGGCACGCGGCGGAGAGGGGGCGTGGCTTGAGCCGCTTCCCAGCAACGCTCCCCCTCCCTTCCTCCCCCCCCCCCGCTCCCCGCTTTACCGACGTCCCCGGCGACCTTGCCCCCGTTGAGGGTCTTGATGAGCTCCCCGAGGCTCTTCTTGTCGCCGTTCATCTTCCAGTTCCCGCCCACGAAGAACTTCCTTGGCGCCATGGTGCGGGTCGAGAGTGAGAGGAAGAAGGGAGGCGGCAACGACGGAGGAGGAGGAGGAGAAGATGGCAAGGTCGCACGGCGCGGCGGTCGCTCTTATAAGAACGCCTCAGCCAAGCCACGCCCCTTCGCCCCTGCTGACGTCACATAGGCCCCGCCCCCCTCGCCCTCTGAAGGAGGGAAAGAGATCTCTATTTGAGAAATGTTCTGTTCCCGGCTTGAAAGTGTAATTTCCTGGGTTGTTGTTTTCCGGGCTGTTTTAGAAGCATTCTCTCCTGACATTTCGCCTGCATCTATGGCAAACATCCTCAGAGGTTGTGAGGTCTGTAATTTCCTGTTTCATTATGCGGTCCTTATTTTGGCCCCTTCCATACAACTAAACAAAATCCCACATTTTCTGCTTTGAACTGGAATATATGGCAGTGTACACCCAGATAACCCGGGTCAAAGCAGACAGTGTGGGTTATTCTGCCTTGATATTCTGGGTTATAGGACTGTGTGGAAGGGCCCTGGGAGTTTCCCCCTCACATGGATCCTTTCATTATCCTACATTATCTGAGTGTGGACTCAGATAACCAAATTCAAAGCATTTATTATGGGATTTTCTGCCTAGATATTGTGGGATAAAGGACTGTGTGGAAGGGTCCATGGAAGAAACTGCAAGGGCCATCTAATCCATACCCTTTCTACCATGCAGTACATAATCAAATCCAAACTCAAGAATGGAAAAAGGAATGTTGGTGGACAGGAAAAGTGATTTAAAGATGGGCTTAAAGCCAACCTCAAAAACTGTGGCATAGACACCGAGAACTGGGAAGACCTGGCCCTTGAGCACTCTAACTGGAGGTCAGCTGTGACTGGCAGTGCTGCAGAATTCGAAGGCACGAATGGAGGGCGAAAGGGAGAAACACACCCTTTCATGGAAGAAACCATGAAAATGAACAAAATCTGGCTACCAGTATTAAAAAATTCTAAAATTGCAACAGCAAAAACAGCAGAGAGAAAAACAGGCAGGGACATCTAATCACCTTTCAAGAAGAGTTTGCTCCAGGCACAGTCAGCCCATTGTATGCTAATCAAGGTGGTCAGTTGAAAGATTCACACCTAGCCCAACTTACAAAAGCCCTTTGTCTCACCCTGGTCATTCCACAGATATATAAACCCCTTTTCCTAGTTCCAACAGACCTCACTACCTCTGAGGATGCTTGCCATAGATGCAGGCGAAACGTCAGGAGAGAATGCCTCTAGACCATGGCCATATAGCCCGAAAAAAACCCCTACAACAACCTTGTCTATTATTGTTATGTTTGCTTTATGCTTTTAAATTGCATTTTGTTATTGCTCTGCTTTTAATTGTTATGTTCCCTGGACTTGGCCCCATGTAAGCCGCCCCGAGTCCCTTCGGGGAAATGGAAGCAGGGTAGAAAAATAAAGTTCTTCTTCTGTTTACATTATATGAGATCACATTATATGAAATTTTGACAGAGTCAGGACAGATGATGATGATGATTATTCCTTGGGGCAGATTACTTCCAATAGCTCAGAGATATCTGGAGTGGAAGAGGGCCTCTGGACTTGAACAAAAATGAGGTGCTTGTGTCTGAGCAAGGCAACCAAACTGAGGTGTGGGCTATAAGCATCGCCCAGAACAAAAGGAAAGCAGAAGGCGGATGGAAAGCCTCTGGTTCTGATGGCAGCCCTCCCCAAGTTTGGTCCTGAAACTGCATCTTCTTCCTCCTCCTCCATCAACCAGCACATTCAGACACTTGGGCCCCTTCCACACAGCTGAATAAAATCCCACATTTTCTGCTTTGAACTGGGATATATGGCAGTGTGGGCTCAGATAACGCAGTTCAAAGCAGATATTGTGGGATTTTCTGCCTTGATGCTGTGGGTTATATGGCTGTGTGGAAGGGCCCTTGGAAGCAGGAAGAGAGCACTTTAGGAGACATGCTCAGCCTGATGTGATGAGGAAACACAGTGTTGACAAAACAATGTATTGTCTTGCCTCTTCTGGAAATGATACAGGAGGATATCTCTGGGGTCTCGTATTATATGGCACAACATACAACCTGTCCACAGATGAACTATTTAGCTAATAAGAAAGAGCAGCTTTCCAGGTCTTGGTGTGCTAACCAGTACATGCAAGGATCATTCACATTTCGTATTGCATGTTGGAGTTTAACATTTTTTAGAAAGATGCATGTTCTTGGTTTAAGAGCATGCTTTTCCCAGTTTTTTCCCCAATGGGTATTATTTATCAATAACTCTCCATTGGCAAGGAAGCTCAACACAGCACCAATTCTTTTCTTTCTTTTTTTTTTTTGGTAAGGAGGTAACTTCTTAAATTAAAATACAATTTTACAAGGCATCTTCCTCACAACACTCAACTCTGTCAACCTAGGCCTGTTACAAGCATCCATGTTGAGTGAACACTGGCTGCCTTTTTGTGATTGCTTTACACAGCTGCTATCAGTACTTCTTCCCCAGCTGCTGCTTACTTTCTAAATTTGGCATAAAATGCCCACTGGTATGCATAGGTAAAGGCTTTCCCAGTTGTGTCTGACTCTGGGGTGTGGTGCTCATCTCTCATTTCTAAGCCGAAGAGCCAGCGTTGTCTGTAGACACCTCCAAGGTCATGTGGCTGGCATGACTGCATGGAGTGCCGTTACCTTCCCACCGGAGTGGTACCTATTGATCTACTCACATTTGTATGTTTTCGAACTGCTAGGTTGGCAGAAGCTGGGGCTGACAGCGGAAGCTCACGCCGCTTTCCGAATTCAAACCTGCGGCCTTTCGGTCAACAAGCTCAGCAGCTCAGTGCTTTAACCCACTGCGCCACTGGGGGCTCCACTGGCATGCATAAAATAGATAAAATACAACCGCTTAGGTCTCTTCTACACTACTTTATAAAATCCGGATTATCTGCTTTGAACTGGATTATATGGCAGTGTAGACTCATATAACCCTGTTCAAAGCAGATAATGTGGATTATCTGATTTGATAATCTGGATATATATATATATCTAGCTGTGCCCTGCCACGCGTTGCTGTGGCCTATAGTAAAACTTATCAAAGTTGAGGTAGATATCTGGACTATTATGAAAGAGAGGTACCTACCTATTCCTTCCCCCTTTTCCTTCCCCTTTCTCTCCTTTCTTCCTTCTCTACCTCTTTCTTTCTTTCTTTCTTTCTTTCTTTCTTTCTTTCCTTCTTTCAGTACTTGGTTTCATCCTTCTCTCTTTCCTTCATTCCCTCCCCCTTTCTTCCTTTGCCTTTTTCCCTCCCTGTTTGCTTCCTTCTTTTTCTTTTTATTTCCTTTTATTTCACCACCATCATAACAATAACAATAATGCAATGCATTGCCTCTGGGACCTGACACCTCTCCCATTCCCCCAGGGTCTCAGAGGAATAATAGCATAGTAATAATAATAGAAATAACAACCTTTACCCGCCACGCTTTGCTGTGGCCAACCTTCCCTCTTTCTCTGCTTCTTTCCCTCCTTCCTTCCCTCCCATCTTTCCTTCTCTTCCTTCTCTATCTCTTTCCTTCCTTCCCCCTTTTTCTTTCTCTTCTGGTCTCTTTTTCCTTCTCTCTTCCTTCCCTCCTCTTTCTCCTCTTCCCTTCTTCCTCCTCTTCCTTCCTTCTTCCTTTTTTTTTTCCTTCTCTCCTTCTTCCTTTCCTTTTCTTCCTTCCTTCTCTTTCTTCCTTCTCTCTCTTCCTTCCTCCCTTTTTTTTCTTTCTCTTCTCTCCCTTCTCTTCTCTTTCCTTCCATCTTTCCTTTTCTTTCCTTCTTCTTCTTCTCTTTCTCTAACTTTCCTTCCTTCCCCCTTTTTCTTTACCCCCTTTTTCTTTCTTCCTTCTTCCTTCCTTCCTGTCTTTCCTTTTTGACAGGGCGGGAAGGGGCGGGGGGTGGGGTTTGGAGGTGGCGTGAAGTAAAAGGAGGTAAGATTGGGGCAGGGGAGTGATGGAGCGTGGGGTTGCGTGTGTGTGTGCGGCGGCGGGGGGAGTGATGGAGCGTGGGGTTGCGTGTGTGTGTGCGGCGGCGGGGGGGAGTGATGGAGCGTGGGGTTGAGTGTGTGTGTGCGGCAGCAGGGGGAGTGGATGGAGCGTGGGGGTTGCGTGTGTGTGTGCGGGGCGGGGGGAGGGGGGGTGGAGCGTGGGGGTGCGTGTGTGTGTGCGGGTGGGTGGGGGGGGGCGGCGGTGGGGGGAGTGATGGAGTGTGGGGTTGCTGTGTGTGTGTGGCGGCGGGGGGAGTGGGGTGCTTGTGTGTGTGCGGCGGCGGGGGGAGTGATGGAGCGTGGGGTTGCGTGTGTGTGTGCGGCGGCCGGGGGAGTGATGGAGCGTGGGGTTGCGTGTGTGTGTGCGGCGGAGGGAGTGATGGAGCATGGGGTTGCGTGTGTGTGTGCGGCGGCGGGGGGAGTGATGGAGCGTGGGGTTGTGTGTGTGCATGCGGCAGGGGGTGTGTGTGTGCGGGAAGTGGCGCAGCGGTGCTTGGAGTGGGCATGGCTTCCGCAGAGGGAACGTTGGCCGGAAGGCTGTGTGCGCGCCCAGGGAACTTGTGGCTGGGCACCAATGCGCATGCTCAGTTGTTTTGCCGTTTTGTGAGTGTGTTGTTGTGTTGTTTTTCATTTTGAGTAGATATGTTTGTACCTTGTGGGTTGTGTTATGGACATGGGAATTTTGGTTTCCTTACGTAGTCCCTGCGAAGCATACAATTGATATTCTCTGCGCTCGTGCCGCAGCATTCGGAACCTTTCAAATTAAAAGAATGACAGTTAGATAGGCCACGCCCCCCTCCCCTAGTATATATAGCCCGTGGGCGGGGCCAACCGTCAGTTCTCTTCATCCACGCTAAACAAAGCAGCGGAGAACCTTTCTATCTCTGGCGAGCTAGACCAGCACTTACATATTTCACCTGTTTCTTGCCAATCATGGCAACGAGTTCTTTTAAAAAATGCATAAAATGTCCTAACATTTTGCCGGACAATGATGGCCATGAGCTTTGCCTCGCCTGCCTTGGTGAAGCTCACTTGTATCAATCCTGTTCGGTCTGCCAAGCTTTCACTCCACAGACCAGGAAGAACA